CACACCACCACACCACCACACCACCACACCCACCACACCCACCACACCCACCACACCCACCACACCCACACACACCACCACACCCACACACACCACCACACCCACACACCACCACACCCATGGGTGGGCTTTTCTACCCAACCCACAGCCCCACCCAGTTCCACCCGCATACGGGTTTGCCCGCCCACAAACGTGCCGGGCGTGCTTGTTTCAAAGGCCTAACGACATGGCCGGCGACTTGTAGTAAATATGACTGACAAGGCCAACCATGGTTTACATAGCAATTAAGAGAGAAGGAAGAGAAGCAATTCAGAGAGAAGGAAGAGAAGCGTAACTCGATGCTCCAGCAGACCAATCTCTCATTATCACGAGTTATCATTATCGACGAGTAGCAGGCGACATAAATGTGAAACCGAATAGGATTAGCAGCATATACAGCGCTTGAAATTGAAATTATACTTCGATACTACTTGATGGTGGATGCTACTTGGATCCTAGTAAGTACTCTCTCTCCATCAGGGGGTGGAATTTTACACTTTCTAGCTTCATCATGGACACTAGGTGGTGCGGCTGATCGTGTCACAGTCACACCCACTTTATCAGATCCTGAAGGGACTTTCTTCTAAAGTGTGGTCTTCCCACACTCTAGAAGATCATGAAGGGTCACAGCAGCACCCACTTTATTGTAGATAGAATAGCGTCTGGGCCATAGTCATCCTCCTCGCTATCAGCGGCTGGTCGAATAGGTATGAAGGACTTGCTTTCATTACTACCGTTTGCGCTGCTGGAAGTTTGGTGCATTGTGACGCTTATTGAGCTTGAGGGTTCCTCTCGGTCCTTTTCCTTTTCACCATCATCTTGAGGCTTTGTTCCCACGAGGACCACTTTCGTGTCCTCACGACCACTTCTTTCGTCCTGCTGCTCTTGTCCAACTACATTTGCACTTTGATCATCTTGTTGTAGTACCATGATCGGATTCGAAAGACAAGCCGAAGAAGTAGAAGTGGAGGAGGAAGAAGAGCCTGGAATTAAAGGTGGGAAGTCATTGGTCACCGATGCTGAACAGAAGAGACCACCCTCAAAGCTCTAGTACTCCCCTTTTCCGTTCATTATTATTTCCGCTGTTCTACTCTCAAGGGACGAAGGTCGCCTCTTCGATCTCAGTGACTCCAATCTAAATGGTGACTCCAATCTAAATGGTGACCAATGAAAGAGGAGCCTTAATTGAAGCAGCTGAACTTCCAGATGATGGTCCACGTTTTCTACTAGTTGTGTTCCATTGTTATCTGGGTCTCCTTGCATTTCTTGATTGCAATTCTTCTCTCGTGCTGCCGAAGCCGACAATGAAGCTTCTTGTTCTTGTGTAGTACTTGTATTAAAGCTCAGCATTCAATGGTCACTGATGCTGAACGGAAGAGACCCCCTTCAAAGCTCTCTCCTTTCCCTTCCTTTTCCCCTGTTCTCCTCTCAAGGGGAAGTTGCTTCTTCGATCTCAGTGACTCCAATCTAAATGGTGACCATTGAAAGCTGAGCCTTAATTGTAATTGTGACCACTCTATCAAGTACAGCAATATCGTCCTGGAGTCTGGGTGCACCATAAAGGTCCGATATCCCATATTCATGCCCGCAAACAAAGATCTTCTGCTCTATCCTCTTGATATTCGGAATCGTTTCTGTTGTGACAGAAGAAGTGGCACAACTACTAGCTGCAGGAGCAAATGCAATCGTACTACTACTTGAAGCCGATATTAGTGTGGAACCTTCGCCTCCTCCTGACTGCCATGTGGTGTCCCTACAACAACTCGTCCTCTCCTCAGCAGTAGTTTCTATTTCTTCAGGCAATGCAGTAGAAAAATGACTTTCATCAACGGTAGCTTTTGATACAGTAGTACCAACTTCTTCGTTCCTCACGACTCTTGCGCCAACAGCCACCACCTCTATAGTTTTAGAGGTAGGTTTTTGGTGTTCGTGGGTTCTCCCGCTTGTTATGGCTGTCCCCACCTAAGGGAGAGAGCCAGAACAAACGGTAACAAAAGCACCTTTAGCCTACTACCCTTAATAGTTGTTACTTCCAAATCTATAGTGGTAACTTCGACAGGCTCCTCATGCGACCTTTCACGAAAGGATGCATGCTGACTGGCATTAGAAGTTTTAGACGAGCTCCTTTCGGTATTCATGCATGCTATTGTCCCTGTTATCACCTTTCATAGTGACCGTAGAGACGTGGTCTGACATCTTGTCAACAACAACATGGGGGTTCTGTCTTTACCTAAATTTCCCAGGTTGATCCGAATAGAATTATAGTCAGGATGCAAAAAAATGAATTAGGTTACTGAGACAAGGAATTTTTTGTGAGAAGCGACATCTTCTCTGATGAACTATTGTGACGAGGGCACATTGTCTTAACTCCACCACCTTCAGCATCGGGAATCGCGTCTGCGACAACGCTGCATCCGCTGAAGGTTGTGGGAAACCGTACTACATCTCCCACGAAACTGCATGATGCCGTTTTAGAACTACTGTTCGCCTGAAGATGTGCAGAACCAATTCTAGCAAAGGCATCGCGAAATTCTTCTGCTGCGTTCTGAGTGTTGCTGACTGGAAAATAGGAGAGCCGACAGGAACTTGTGGTGCTAGCAAATTGCACGGACACCGAGAAAAGTCGCTCCAATCTCAATAAACGCGCAGCCGTCTTTCTATTCCCCTTATCGAAACATTCAAGGACGAAAAAATAGTCCCTCATTCCATGATCTGCTTTGGACGCGTCAACGGAAAATGTTAGCTGTGTTGACGTTGCCCTGAGAGGGATTTAATCCGTAACCAGAGTCGGGGGACACTCGACACGGTGGAGACTGAGACAGAAATAAATTGCATTCGTAAATACTTATCATCCGTGCAAATAAGACTCAATCCACAAGCAGCACTCGCATAAAAAGATTTTTAATGAGAGAACCAACTATACTTCCTCTACATGATACCCGCCTCCCGCATCGCCTCCACTGCGATCTGCTCTGCTTCCGTCCCTTGGAAGGCTTTCGTCCCTTGTTTTGAAGCTTCCTTGGCTTGTCAACAAAGTGACCATGGGTTTGACCTCCACAGTTTGCATCTTGATGTGAAACGGATTCTCTAGCAATTTTATTGGACTCGTCGTAGGTTTCGGCATTCGATGAGGTTAGAAGTGGAGAAAGAGAAACCTAATACAAAAAGCTATTAGAAGATCATGGTGGGATCCCGATGTGGCGTCGATGTTGAAGTGCCACCATTTAATGTGAGTGGACTAGACGGTGATCGATTTTTAGAAGACTGCAGAAGTACCCCACGCAGTGAAGACATTAGTGGCCTGGATGACGTTAGTCGATTCGGATTGGGCCTACGACTTCCCTGAGTCTTCTTGTTCTTTGAGACAGTAATAGCCTTAACGAAGAGGAAAGTTTCTAACTCTTCCTTCCTCTCTCAGTGCCCGTAGCTCTTCTTCCTCCTCCTCATCGTCGTCAAACAATTCGCGAAACTCCTGAACCTGGGTCAACAAAAGTTGCTGTGCTCGTCTGTGGCGAGTCGTTTCCGCTCTGGCTGACCTGGGTGGCGTCCCGGCACTGTCATCCTCGTTGTCGAAAGATGAAAGAAGGAAATGGAGGAAATACAGACAAGGAAGGAATGCTGGAAATACAGTAGACTTATTAATCGAAATACAGACTTATTAATCTACCACCTGGTACTAGTTATGGAAGAGGTATGCCATAGCATAGGCCAAGAATGAGAGGCTATCTAGTTCTAGTAGCAGTGTTGTCAGTCTAGCAGTTAAAAGAAGGACGAAGTACCCAGTACAGCAGGCTAACGAATATATTTTGTTTGAGCCCGTCAATCTGATATGTTCCTTGCCATCAGGGAAAAGCGTCACCGTTAAAGTTCGAGCCTCCGACTCTTCTGAGACTGAAGAAACTAGTCGCTGTTTAGCTTTCTTCACAGATACGATTGCAGAATTGTCCCTAGTGCAGCAGGCTAAGTAACGGACGCTCTTCCAAGATGAGACAGAACAAGGCAACCAACTCCCAACATAATCTATCTTCAACTACACCCCCAACATAGCATTTCAAATGTCGCATTGAATAAGCCGCCTTGCACGCCGCCTTCTCCTCCGCCTCCAGCATAATCGCCGAAGAAGAATCTAGCTGTAGCACTAGTGGTCGCGCTGAGAAAGGATAGACTTGATGCTCCGTTGCCAGTGCCGTCGTCGTTGTTGGCACTCACGCCGTTCGTCTGATGGGCAGCACCAGACCCTGACGGTGTACTATCAACAGGAATAACCCCTGTCGTGGTGGGCGGCTGAGAGTCGCTACTCGTGCTTTCCGGTTGTACTTCGCCACCTCTGTCGGGCTCAAAAGAGCTCTGAGCGGAACCCATGTTTTTCTTCTCTTGACCTTGGGGTAACTTTACTTATAACACTGCAGAATGAAGAAACAGTGCAGGAAAAAGATGACACGAATAAAAACGAAAACGCCTCTCACTCGCCTCGCATTAGCCTACAGGTGTTTCATTTTGTATGCCACACGCTCAAAGCGCTCTACCTTTGCATTCCTCCCAAGCAGTTTCATATAATCGCTTTTCTCTTTTATCCGGAGTTGTCATTTCTTTTTTCGATTTCACCAATGTGATTCAAACAGCCAATCTTCCGACGTCGCTCTTTCTTCGGCGAGCAACGCCAGAGGAGAACAGATCCTTCCGACGTAAAAAATCAATAAGATCTGTTCTCCTCTGGCGTTGCGTGCTATTAGGAAAATGAATTGATGCACAGAAGCACCAAAAGCAGCGCAGTTGCAGTCCCTACACAAGAATGAGACCACAAAAATGGAGCGACAACATAATACAGAAGGAAAATGAAACAAAGTCAGAACTGCAGGAGTGCAGTAGTACTTTGTGGAAAGATATGGAGTCAACTCGTCCAACTACTCATCAACCCACACACTAGAGCTGCTTCACGACGTGGTCCTACTTCATCACGTCCCCGACGTATAAAAGTAATACCGTCGCCACAGTAACAACAGTTGTACTATGTTGAAATGCTTTAGGACTGGTAGAGAGTCCCAAAACCTCTGAACTTTCTCCTCCGGGAAGTACTTTTCAAAAAACGGCGACCTCAAAAGGGCCCAAAAGCAGGCTTGTCTTCGGCGTCGCAACTCCATACATTCGATACGATGGCGGAAGGTTAGAAGAAGTGCTTCGTCTACTACCAATTTGACAGCAATAACGATCTGCGAATATGATCCGAACTTCTATCGCCTCCTTACCACAAAGTTGTCTACCTACCTCTACTGCCCCAAACTAACATACGCAGGATCTCTTGTCTAAAGGATTCTTGAACCCACGGCGTCAAAGGCAATTAAATAGTGTGTGGTGACTCGAATTACTCTTGATGATGCGATAAGATCAAAGGCTATTTGGAGAGCAGCGACTCGAAGAAACATCTACATAAACATACCCAACATATGCTCAACATTCTAGTACCTTGCTTTAGTACAACATGCTGTCCTTGTGGTCCATAAAAATGTTGGGTCATTCCCAGGTGGCGTCCACGCTTCGGCCTTCTCCCTAACTAGCAGCATCTCCATAACGCTGGAAGTTCCTAGGTCTATCCTTAGAGCTACCGCGTTAGCCCCCCGAAGTGCAACATCCTTGGTCCGCTTTTCAAGTAGAAAAAGAAGATCCAAGGACGATGGTGTCAGGGCCATGCTTCACCAGCGGTAGCCGTAATATCAACAGCGCCGTCCACCAGGCTAGCCACGGTTTTTTCTTCGCTTGCAGATACAGAACGAACAGTGGCCGCAACTGGTAAAGCAGGTCTAGAAAGACTAGTTGGCGTTTGCGACGTTGCGATAGGACTAGACGTTGGGCTTGTGTCAGATTAGAACCAGATTGATGAAGATGATCCGAGCGATCCATCTTAGATCGACCTTCTGGGTCCTTTTGCCAGAGAATGTTGAAGAGGAAGATTCTTCTAAACCAAGACGCACCCTTTCTACATGAAGATAATGAGAAGAAGCCTTATTCAACACAATCGATCCCTTTTTTTTTCGTGGTAGTTCACTCATCCTACATGATAGAGAAGCCATAATCAACACAATGCCATGCTTTTTTTGTGGCAGTTCGAAGCCTATTGGTCCCGTGACCGCAGCTGCAACAGGCGGAACATCGATATTGTGTAGACGACCGCGCAGCCTTACACCAGAACGTTTCCCTATAAACTCGAGGTCGATGTCGCGCTTTCTTTGGTCCGTCTCACGATCCGTTTTAGAAGTGGGAGAGTGGAGGAGAAACAGGAAGAGAAAACTGAACAAAATACTCCTTTTAGAGAACGAAGGAGAAGCTAGTAGGCAAGTACTAAGTAGATGGAGAAAATCTGCTTATACCTAGACTACTTCTTTAAGAAGCTTTAGATGATGACGATGATGATTATATACCCAGTATCTATTTACGGGTGTCAGCTCAAGGGCTAATTATTGTTCTTGCATCTTCTTCTCCTTGTTATTCTCTATTTTCTCCAAGACGAGGCTAGCAGGTAAGTACTAAGCAGACGGAAAAAATCTGCTTATACCTAGACTACTTCTTTAAAACTAGAACCTATAGCTTTAGATCAATTTCAAAATGCAGCCATATCTTTCACCCTCTCCGCGACTGTGGCATTCGCGTCTTCCACCCACACACTTTCTTCTACGAAAAAACGAGGTGCTAAAACTGAAGTATCCCCAACTTCTCTTATTCTGCCCTTCCTTCCTCTATTGTAAAGGAAATGGGCTATGCCCGCTTTCAGAAGGATTTTCAGGAACTCCAATATTAACGCCAGTCAATCATCACTAATAAACATGTAAGTGGCCCTGGTTGAGGTGATCGATACCTGCTTGAGGCTGCAGCACCCCTCTTACTCAGAGTCAGGAGGATGCCTCACAACCTGACTCGCACCACTCTCAACAAGGAGTATACCTCACAACAAGGGCAACTTACTGAGTATACCTCACTCGCAACACTCTCATCAAGGGCAACTTACTCACACCAAGGAGTATACCTCACAACCTCACACCAGAACGAGATACGAGTGACTCTGACTGACTAGCCTTAACAAGATCGCACACCCTTTTGGAGATGGGTAGCGCATTTCATAGACTAGTTGAAGGCAACGAATTCCTCGTATCAGAAAAAGCACGACCGTGTATTTCTGCTCCTTGCTTATGGAGGAACAAACGTTAGTATTAGACGAGGCCCTGCTGGAGGTGGTACATTCATTGCAATGCTTGTTGTTCTTAGAAATGCTGGATGGTGGAGGTAGAGGTGGTATAATGTTGAATTCGAAATATGTAGTTGTAGTCAAGAACTTCAAGTATCTTTTTAGAGTAGTTACTTATTAAGGGCCTGAGATGGGATCCGTTAGCTATCATCGACTTCGACAAAAAGCGACCATCCTCCATAATTGAAGCTCCTACCTGCGGTCTTTTATTAGAAGCTGCCACCCTTCCCGAAGAGGCTTATCCATTTCTTAGAGGCGCTTTTTCCTCTATAAAAGCCTCTTCGGGAGGCCTCACCAGAAGATCGACAAGGGTAAGCCCTGCTTTTTTTCCCTGAAATGGGACGACAGCTTCAAGATCGATAATTCTGAACAGATGGATTTTTACCAAAAGCCTTAATTGTAACCGCCTGAATACCCGGGACTTGTGGTGCACAGACTAATGTGCGATAAACGGAGAAGAGTTCCGACAAGCTACAGAGAAGCTGCTCTTGTACACCGTCGCCTCATGTTAGCAGGAGAAGCAGAACTATAGTCCTTTCATTCATTCATTTACCTGGTCTGGAGGTATCTTTTGACGCCATTGTTGGTACTCATACATCCTCCTTGGGAGCAGTGGAGCCATCGACCCTTGCCTTCACTTCTACAATTGACTTAAGTAGAGTTATTCTTGACTTCTTAAGAGTTATTCTTATTATTTCAAAGATTAAATAGTATAAATAAATAACTTTTCTTGTTCTGCTCAATTTCTCTGGTGCCACTTTTTTTTTTGTATCGCGAGCAAGTTCCGTGGAGAACCTGCCTACATATTTTCCGCGTAGCTACCGGCGTAGGGGGGAGTTCTGAATCTCTTTATACTTAATTGCTGATCTCTTGGCCACAGGAGAGTTCTTTATACTTAATTGCTCGTCTTGAATTTGTCTACAATGTAGCCTTAATGACAATCCACCTGGCAAAAAAAAGACTCCATTTTGGAGTAGCATCTCGATGCTTTCGCCATTGGCCTCCAGAAATTTCCGCTGCCACGCAAGGAACTCATCGAAACTTTCAAACGGCATCATGTTTCTTGATTGGCAATAAAGTTGTGGACAAGGAGGAGATGCTTATTGGTCGTGTCTAAACATCATTGTTATGTCATAATTCAAAGAAAGATGCGTGGCGACCAAAAGTCTTTAGCCCATTTTCCATGCTCTTTAATGAATTAAGTGGTCGCTTGTAGAACTCGGTATCATGTTGAAAAGCGATGGCTGTTGCAAGAAAATTCTAATTCTTTAGACCAAGTGCAGTGAAAAAAAAACGCGTAGGTCTTGTTCGCGCTTCTTGTCTAGAAATACCAATAGTGCTACACTTCAGTTTTCCATCTACCAATTTTTTCAACTTCAAAGTCTTCGGCGAAAGGGCCAGCGCACCAGCTGGGGTGTGCGCAGAGAAGTCGCCAGTGCACTAGACGAAAAGACCCTCCTATCATTATCGTGACGCGATCGTGATGACCCAACAACTACGTATACTAACAACCACAGAACAGATCACGAGCACACGCACATACGCGCACGACCACTTATTGAAGATCAACACACCCGTTCCTCAGCGATAGACACCGACAAGGCGTACGGGGTGAATTGATCGCATGAGATTACAAACAGCGTCGTGGGGTATAATTCCTTAGACAGAACACTGTGTAGACCTAGAGGTAGTTGGCTCCAAGAATATGGACCAATGACATATTGTGAAGCGTTGCTTCGAGATTACATGGCTTAGGATTAGGGTTCGGTGGAGAGGTAACGTTGATTCTTTCAATTTCATACTATTTTCAGTCGTCAAAAGAAGACGAGGACTGCCTGGGAGCACCTCTCCCTCTGTACTTATCATGTCTGTGTTTCTAGAAGTCATTGAACCCATTTTCTGCGTCTTCTTCTTGTTTTTTCATCGTCGCGTAAAATTTCACATGACTGCTATCTTTCAATATCCACACTTCTTTGCCTAAATGCCTGTCTAACCTACCAAAATGTCCATTGCAAACCGGGCATTGTGTGTTCGTCTGACCGCCTAGGATGGAGCTTCTTTTCTGGACTGCCCAAAAGTGGACAAATTTCTGCCACTTTTCCAGGTCCTTATGCAATTCGGGTTGATGCTTTTCGAGCACATGCTGCTTTCCAGCATCCATGCTAGGGCATTTGGTGCGACACAAAGTGCATCTTGCTTCCATTTTAGGCAAGAGCATCAAATTCGAAGCGACGAAAACCGACTTCAAACTAGAGATCACATTTTGCTTTATGTTGTCATTGTCTAAGCCATGTCGTTTGTCGTTTTCAGCTAGTTTTTCAGGAGTTATGAGGTCCTCTTCGATCTGCTGTCTTTGAATGCGGGTTTTACGCATTTGTTCGGTCTCGACGAAGGCCCCATACTCATCTCGCTGCTTAGTAGCTGCCCAAATTGATGTAGACGGCGTTTTCTTAGAATTGTTCTTCTTATTGCTGCCAGATGAGCTGCTGCCACCACCAAGAACCGCATCCAAAGAGAAATCAAACTTCTTCTTCGGCTCTTGGGTTCCGGCATCTACTTTCTCCTCATGATTTTGGATGTCACTTGTGTTTCTTCTCGGACTCCTTTCTCTCGTAGATGCAGTGCTAGTGACCCCTACATTCTTCTCAACTCCTGTCGATGTGCTATTCGACAAACTGGCAGCATCAATTCCAGCAGCTGCTTGTTGTTCCACCTTCATCTCTCTTTCTCTCCTTTCCGCTTCCTCCCTTTCCAGTGCCTCTTTTGTAGCGCCCATCCGCAGTTTCATACTTTCTCCACGACTAGCTGACTTCGCGCCAGACGCTGCTTCGGAAGCTGCAAAAGCGAGTAATTCCGCTTTATGCACTACGGCTAGATGCACTTCTAGTTGCGTCTTTTTCTCACACGTAAATCCGGCACACAAGTTGCAATGAAACTGGCCATCTTCAATCTTAGTAAATCGTGTGAGGAAGCGGCGTCGTGTTACTTCTGTCACTTGGGTTGGTGTCGCTGTCATGTTTTGGTGCTGGTGTGCTGTCCTTGTTGTGGAGGAAGAAGAAGAGGATGTTGGAGTCGCTCTAGTACATGTTGTTGTTGTCGCTGTCGTAGTGTTTTGAGTTGAAACCCCATGAGCGCTTGATGGATCATTGGCCTTCTTCCCATGACCGCTACCATTCGATGCTGAAGCGGCACTCGGTCCAGTACCAGTTGGTACAGCAGTGCTACCTGTTGGCACAGCAGCACCTGCTGGCGCATCATTCTCCGACCCAGAGGAATAGTCGAAATCCATTTTTTTTACACGCTTCAGAGGACGTCTTCGGTAGTAGTAGTAGTAGTGTACCCATTCGAGAGGTAGCAAAGACTTTTAATTAGGGTAAAGAAAGATATTAATCAAATGACTCTTACAGCAAAGATCGAATCTGATGCGCAAAAAAATAGGGAAAAACTGCTATAGGTAGTTGTTTACTACCATCTTTGTTATCATCATCTAAAAATAGATGTCTCCGCAACCTCCTCCTCCTGTTGTAGTCAGGACAACAAATTATAGAGAAGATAAAGAACAATTGCTTGAAGCAGTTGTAGCAGACGCTCGCGAACTCGATGCATAATAAGCAAATGTAAATACTATCCCAGAAGTCGACCATACATTTCCATTCCAAGACACGTTCATCAAGAAGATGCAGATATTACACGTTGCTCAGAGCAGGAGTTGGATCCGATTTTATTGAAGCTGACAGCAGTTTCATATGACGAGCCTGGAGGATCCAGTTTCGTGTTGTTGATTGAATGTCTGTGATAGCAATAGCAAAAATCTGGATGCATAAGATCTGGAAGCATAAAATCTAGATGTGGAAGATTCATCGCTTGGGGATTTGACAAAACCAATGGAGGCACAATGACTGGAAGATTCGTCGCACTTCATGAGGACTTGAAAAAACCAATGGGGGCACAATCACAGGGTTGGAGCTTGGGGCCATTTTGTTAGGACAACTTGCTCTTGGAAAACTTCTTCGGCTAGCTACGTAAACGTATAAACAGAGTCAGTGAATAATTATATCTTCACCAGTCGAAAGTTGTAAGGCTAATTCTTACTACGGCAAAAATGCAACTGTCTATCTCTACGTCTACTATCTACTAGTCTCATCTACTTGCTTACAACGATGTCGCATGTACCACTACGCATGTCTAATATGGAAAGAATTACATGTGTTTTCCGCAAAAAGAGCCGTGTTCTTGATCACCCTTGTGTTGATGTCGTGTGCGTAAGTATCCCTGATGGTACTGTTCCGAGTAGGAGTATCGTATTTATAATAAATCCTCATATCATCTTCAAACACGAACTCACAATCTCGCTTAGATAGCCACCACCAGCTTTCCCACCGACGCCGCACTACTTAATACGATGTGAGCCTCACGCGCGTCCTTCATAACCGTCACTGGCAGTCCCGTTCCAATCACGCCAGCGTTCACGTAGTCAACGATCAAATCGAAGTAATACTTCAACATACCAAACTCTTCGGCAAAGAAACTGTGATGATGATTGTCATGGAGGAGATCATGGTACATAAGAAATCAATTTGGCACGGGATTCGGAGAAGAAACGATGATGATGATGAAGACCGAAGAAGACCAAGGTCATCGCACTCTTTCAAACAAAAAAATGTGCTGTTAGTACAAATCTACGATCATTATCAAAATCACGTCCTCGCCATGCAAAACTATACTTAGTCGAACAATAGCAATACCTCAAGTTGAATCCCAGTGCTCCCTTGCTCTGCAGTGTCAGCATCATCGGGTCAAATTTCGGCATGGCTTGGACTGTCTTCAGCAATATCTTCACCCATTGCCACGGGTTCAAGAATTGCGCGGCGTTTCCAGAAGGCACGTTACTGTGGAACCCGTAGATAATTACCCTGCCGCCTTGCGTCAGATGGTCGTAGCTGTTCTTCAATGTTTCCTGTCCATTAGCGTCGAAAATCGCTTGAAATTTCATCGCATCTATCTCGTTGGCAATGGGGTCCTTGCTACCTGGGGTGATGTTAGGGAAAAGTGGTGGTGTGGGGAGTTCATATGGATCAACAGACGAGATGAAGACCTCCTACGATGAAGTTATTACAGTAGAATTTCAACATACAACTTATAGCGCCGTTTCTTGCAAAGTAAGAATCAACACCATGAAGACGTGCTAGTTCACATTATTTTTCAGCTAGCAAAAAAAAGCAAAAGTATTGAGTTGTTTACTGCAGACGCAGCCGCTACTCCATTGCGTGCTAGATGACAAAGTCAAGAATAAGCCATCAAATATCCACTAACCCTTCCTACCCCGGCTAGCAAAAAAAAGCAAAAATCACCTTTCCACAAGTCTCCTTTCAAAGCCACTTTATCGCACAGTCCAGCTAGTGTTTTCACTTTTTCTGGTCGTCCGACTACTCCGACGACCGGACTGGCGCCAAACTTCCTCGCCAAAGTGCACAACATACTACCGACACCGCCTGCTGCTGAGTGAACTTAGAGGTAGGTTTTTGGTGCTCGCTTACCCCGCTTGTTATGCCTTTCTCCCTTAGGAGAGGCATAAAAAGCGGTAAGCAAAGCACCTTTAACCTACCCTTAATGAACTAGCACGCCCTTATTCAGTGTTCTAGGCGGCGTTGTTGGACTGAAACCGGCAAGGTGTAATGCGTGAACTGCGGTATGTGCAACCGCAGGTAAAGCAGCGCCGGGATATGAACGCAGATATTCATTGTCAAGATCAGGGTACTCTGAAGGTCTGTTTATTACGAAGATTGCTTCTTGTGAATTATAGGTATTTTTAACGATCTGCGAATATCCGAACTTCTATCGCCTCCTTACCACAAAGTTGTAGTCTGTGAAACAAGTTCTTGTAGTTCAAACTCTAAATTTCCAACACAGACCGTGACCGGCAAAAACAACAACTAAGTCTAAGTCTAAGCATGACAGGTGGTCTCAACTACATAATCTTTCAGGTGGCAAGTCCCCAGGCAATTTCCTCAACTGTCTTGCCGGCGCCAACACTTTGCTGGAGTACCCGCCGAACATAGTGGCGCCGAAGACCTTATTAGAGCGGTCCGTAATTCATCTTTCAAGTGTTACTCCCTTAGAAGGATACTCCGTGATCAGTATTACTCCCTTAGAAGGATACTCCTCCATACGTAGTTCCAAGGATGCGTCCAAAGATGTATTAGGTACAGCCTTAACCTTATCTCCTGGTACAAAGCCTGACTCAGGTCCGGCTTTTAACACGGTACCAGCGATATCGAATCCAGGACAGATGGGCCAACCCACGTACTTATTCGCAGAATCATACAATCCCCATCGGATGCAGACGTCAGCGTAGTTCACACTGAAATGCGAGACCTGTCGTGATAGTTGGACACGGTCTTTGCATCTTCATGTTCATTATAGGATAGGTAGTCAATCATCTATTATCTTCATGTTCATTATAGGTAGAAGTCAAGTCCGTCTTTGCATCTTCAATCATAGGATAGGTGGTCAATCATCTACTTACAGTACTTAAGTCAGTAGTCAATCATAGGATAGGTAGTCAATCATCTACTTAGTACTTATAAGTCAGTTTCTACTTCGCATAGGATAGGTAGTCAATGAATCATCTAGGGTAGCACTTCCGTCTTTGCATCTTCTCATAGAAGGTAGAAGTCAATCATCTAGTACTTACTTCTTCTTTGCTTCTTCATTATAGGTACAACAATCATCTTCTCTGCATCATCTACTTACAGAAGAACGTACTAAAGTAGAAACTGACTTATAATATAGGTCAGTTTCTACTTTAGTACGTTCTTCTAGCAGAAAAAGACCAAAAGAAGCAAGTGATTCCAGAAATATACCTTCAGCAAAACGAGGTCGTTCGGGATTTCGGTGGGGATGGTGACTATCGGTCCAGGTGATATACCAGGGAGGTTGTAACCAACTGTGCACTCATTTGGCTGCAGCAGACGCTTTCGGACTTGATTGATACTGCCTGGATTAGATCATGAACTTGAGTTGTAACAGACGGTTTAAAGTGGCTGACTCATGTTGACTCGTCTACGTCTTGGATTGTTCGTGTTCTTTACTTAGTATTGTGAAGACTGCCTGGATTAGATGATCATCATGGTGTCCCATTTAGTACTCCTAGCCTAGATTAGATGATGAACTTGAGTTGTAACAGATGGAGTAACAGACTTCAAGTGGCAATGGTTTATCATCATGATGTCCCATTTAGTACTCCTAGCCTAGATTAGATGATGAACTTGAGTTGTAACAGATGGTTTAAAGTGGCAATTATGGTTTAGATCTAAAAATCTATGAATCCGTAACTGGCCGATGAATCAGATAGCAGTGGTCTTCTCCGGGTGCGATTTTATCGTCCGGTGTCGGAGGCAAGTGGAGGACGGACAGAGTGAACCAATCATAGAGATTCCAATAAACAGCACTAAGCTGATTCTGGAACTGCTCGTATGATTCCCACATTTTTTTTGATCGGAGAGTTTCTAGAAGGAGTAGTTGCTGTGTGGGTCGGTCTTTGCTGGTATTCAATGGTAGAGAAATATGTTGACTCGTCTACGTCTTGGATTGTTCGTGTTCTTTACTTAGTATTGTGAAGACTAATGTACTGACTTCACTTACAGACAGGAGTGGTGATGATTGTTGTATCTTTAGGTGTAGTTCTTGAATCAGTCACTTCTCTCGTCTCGTTCTCTCTTTTCTCGAGTCTCGACGCACTCGGTCTCGATATTAGTATATTACAAAACATTCAAGTTCCTATCAACTACCTAGCTCGAATCAACATCAACAGACATGCTATTCCTGCGATCATTGAAATGGCCATGCGCTTATCAAGTCTTTTATACCCCTGCTCATAATCATGTACTTCAGGTTCGACCCTTACTGGCCGTCTTTTATACCCCTGAAGTGGGTACATTCATTCATTCCCTGTAGTTGCTTCTGCACAAACAGAACACCACTTTTTTAAGTGTAGTCAGAGACAAGTTCTGCAAACGCTGCAAGGACGTTGTAGATCGTCGGGATTTTCTCATACAGATGGTAGCCCACCACGTGATTCTTTCTTTTTCGTACCAGTGATTCTTTCTATTGCAAAGTAGTCTAGTATCCTATTGTTCCTCTATTCTTAGGGTGCTTCGACTGTAACTTTTTTTCTTCCACTTCTTTTCTCTACCGACCTAGTAGACTTATTCATTTTTCTTAGAACTAGAAAGCCTTCATCTGTTATTTTATCTATAATCTATAGGGGATCTTGGCCTTCGACTTTACTCTACACACTTTCTCGTGTCCTCACGTCGGACAAGTCCGATTACCACACACTTGTAGATAAAGTTGTAGAAAAATTCTCAATTCTCTAAGAATTGAGAGTTGAACCAAAATTTTTTAGTCCTTATGGAGAGTTAAACTCAGGTCTTGACCACCTACGGCAAGATCAAACAGCACAAGAAAAGACATTCAGAGGAACCACCTAGGGCAAAACTGTCGCTGGACCAGCTGTCAACCCAAAATGGCGTATCAGAAGGCGAAATCATCATCAATGCGCCTCAAGTGATCGCACATAGGTATGGCAAGACGAAACTATTTCTGCGACGGTCAAGGACCAGTACGATTCTCTAATATTTTCGAACTTATACTTGTTTCTCGAATAGAACGCTTATAAGTGCCTATTTGCGTCTTTGCCTCAACAGGTCCGCCATCGTTGTTTCACTAGAGACGGTGCCTCGTACGCTTGTTGCAGAGCTGCTTGAAGTTGCAGTGGCCCTGCTTTCAGCTTCGGTGCTAGCAGTACTTTGATCTTCGATATGAGAGTGACCTTGAAAATTCATCTCACGGAAAGAAACGTTTAGTGATTCCTGGGCATCGTGCATGACTCTCATGTAACCGGGCTTACCAAACAAATAACATCAAAATGGCGCGCACACACTTGATGAATAGAAGAGACAGGATTTTCCAGCAACGCATTTCATTTCAATCGATCTCCGCTCATCGTCTGTCACGCGGCTAAACAGGTGTGGATATAACACCGCGGCCTCTTCTCTTGGTAAAAGGCGGCTCCCGGTGGTCCTGTTCCGGTGGAGGTGGTGCTCCTGCTGTGTTCATTGCATTTGTAAAAGCTAGTACGCATTACATTTTATTTTGTATTATGAAGAGATCGACAGGGTGTGTGTAAACTACAGTCGGTAGTACAAATAAATCAGAGTCTTAGGTTGAAACCTTCTGAAAGAACGGCGTTGCCTGAGTCCTCCAAGCGAGCGGAAGAACGTTTGGCGCAGCCTTCCTCTTTTTCACTCCTGCAGGGGATAATTTCATCTTGTTTCACTTGACTTCTTCGGTTTTTCTTGTTTGATGTACATGTAATATGTCTACAACTTAATAAATTTGTAGCAATCATTTCTTAGTGTTGGTCAAGGTCATAATCCTCGAAATGTCACAAAGATCACAAGGATGAAGATCAGCAAAATGACCAAGATCGCCAGGCAAAAGGTTACCGGAGCACCATCCAAACGCCCGACGGGTTTACCGTCGCGCGGGTGTCTCTGGCTTCTCCTCTCTCTCTCGTTTGTGGCTCAAGCCTCCCAATACAGTCAAGGACAAAACAGCACCGGAATGATCTCAAAGATAACCTACAGACCTAAATGCATATAGTTCCAAAAACAGTGATCATCAGGCAAAGGACCTTCAACGTATTCAGATAGAAGAAATGATGAATGTTTCATAGCTGTAATCAGGTTCATAACGTACTGTCAGTTCTGATCAATGATGAGAATCAACATAGGATGATCGTATGAATCAATGATGATAGCATAAGCGTTTCCATATGAAAGTTTCCCCATGCAACATGATATCCCAATGATGAAGCTGAGACTTCCTCCATGTAACCCCAATGAACATCCACAGGGATCAAAGCAGCCAGAGATCATTAGTCTCAGGCTGTGAGTGCAAATTGTGCAAACAGTATCACTCTCAAGTGTTTCTCACCGAGAAACTAGACGCGACTTAACAGTCTGTGTTCGAATGTATCCAACACTACTTTGACCCTTGAGCTAAGTATAGAGTAGAAATCCATCTAGAAACAACTTTTCAAAATGTCCTGCGATGCGAAAGAAATTTCGAAGAAACTCGGACAGAAGTCCGACTGGCGAGCATGGCAACTTGCCATACGTCAGGAAGCTAGCCGTCTCGGCCTGCTTCAAAACTACACGAATGTAGTCGGCATTCCGGCAGCTCCTCATGGTATTCCTAACGGAGTTACCAATCGGGAGGAAACAATTCGGCAGAAGTGGCGCAACCTGAAAGATGCGATTATTCGTAGTCTGAAAGGTGCCGCTGCGTCGTTCATCAACAACCAGAACGATAATGGGCAGGTGGATGCGATGGATGCAGGTGAGGTTGTTGTGCTCCTTCGTGATGTAGGACACTTCGATCAAAACAACCGTCAGGAACAACGGATGAAAGTAAAACCGCTTACGGATGGCGTGTTGAAGTTCCACAACGCGGATCAACCTGCAGATGTCACAGGATTCTTGTCGAAAGTCCGAGACATCATGAACCAGTCGCCCACCGTGTACCCGCCGGAAGCAGGAGTGCCAGAAAGTGACCAACAAAATGGTGCACTGCTACAGAAGTTGCCCGAGCTGTTCTGCAAGAACTTCAAGGCAACGATCGAACGCATGCAGGAAGAAGATGGTCTGACATTTGACCAGATTGGTGACCGACTTGAAAAGCGTCTTGCGACGTTGATCGAGGAGGGAACCTACAAAGTTGAGAACGATTCCTTCGGGAAGGCGTTCCCGGTCAATGTTCAGGAGACCTCGAATAAACGTTCTCGTGAAGAGGAGGATGACGAGGAAAAGGCCAATGAAGGTGGTAAGATCTTTCTGTCTAAAAGTGCTCTCAAGCGCTTCAAGGCAAACACAAAGAAGAAGATCGCCGCCGAGGTCTATGCCTCCAATTCGAACGGCAAAGGAAAGCCGCAGAACAAAAATAATAAAGGTTCTGGAAAACAAGACACCCGTCCAGTCTGTTGGATCTGCAACAAACCGGGTCACAAATCCGCGTCTTGTTGGAAGAATCCACAGAACCAGGCAAACTGGAACTGGAACACCAATTCCCAATCTAGTAGTGCTATGGGTAAAGGTGGAAAGGGTAATGGCATGGTTCACATGTCCCAAGTTGCGGAGCTGTGGCAAGCTCTCAACGGCGGAAAGCAGAGCTGAGTTGCGGAACCGGTGGAAAGCGGATTTTGCTCGCTGAACTTGGATGAAGATGAGGGTGAAGAAATAAACGTAAATAATACAGGGGAGGTAAAACTTGTGGGACATAGTCTTTCAACTAGTTCCATTACTACAAGAGAAGAAGTTAGTCTAGTCGATAGTTGTGCAAACAAATATCTTTCAAGACACAAAGACGATTTTAGTGAAATAACTATGAGAACTTGTAGGATTACTGGTAGCGCTGGAAGTAAAGACGGAAGAGTAGGAAAACTAAAGTCAAACATCTTAGGGCTCCAGTATGGTGTTTATTATGATTCACTACCAAAGGACTTAGATCGTATTATACCTTGGTTAGGTGAAGGGAACTGCTCGCAATTAGGATGGGAATTCAACTTCAAAGGCGCAGGTGGTTGTCTCGTACATACGGACACCGGCCAGGCCATACCCATAAGAAGTCATCCACGCTTGCAGCTTCCCATACTTGCATGCAACTTATTTAAAGAAGAGACTGATAGTGGTTATATTTGTTCAACAGTAGAAGAAGGAGTCAGTAGTTGTTACCTTACAAGACTCGAACTTCATAGAAGATGTGGGCACTTTCATATAGATGGCCTCCAGGTAAATTGCCCTGAGTGTGATCTACATAAAGGCCAACGCGCACCACATGCAAAAGCTAGAGATACTTCGAACTACAAACCTGAACCATTGAAGTTACTAGCAATCGACTTTGCTGTTGGAATCAAACCCGTATCAGTCAGGTCAAAGAGATGTGTATTAGTGATCATCTGTGATGTAATTAAGAAGGTGTTCTGTCGACCGCTTAAGCTGAAAAGTGACTGTGTGGAGGAAATAGAAGAAGTTATCAAAGGCATTCGCCAGGACTACTCCTTATCACTTGATGACAAGGTAGTGTGGTTCCTCCGGAGGGATGGAGAACCTGTCCTGAGCAGTGATGACATGACCAAAGTTATGCAATCGCTGCGAGTCTCAGACAGTCCGGCTGTTCCTTATAATCCGGAGATGAATGGGACCTGCGAACGTTTTATGCGGACTTTGTTCGGCAGTGTACGCACAATGCTGACTAAAGTTGATAAACGCCTCTGGTGTTACTGCGTCGAGTACGCTGGTGACTGCTGGGATCGTTTACCGCATAACTATGCAAAAATGCCTCAACATGATGGAAAGAGTCCAATTGAAATCTTAGAAGAAAGGACTGGTAGAAACTCATCGAAGAGTTCAATCGGCATGCTCCGCCGATTTGGTTGTCTAGTTTACTTTCGTGAACAAATTCAAGCCAACACTCCTGAACCCAAGCTCTCGGCCAAGTACCGCCGTGGCGTCTTCCTTGGACTCTGTCCGAAGTCGTCTGGTTGGTTGGTTGGAACTTTCGCTCATGACGATCGTTGCAAGCTTGGACATCGATGGGCGGAATACTCTACCCTAGATGTAAAGTTCAGAGAGGACTATCTAATTAAAAATATCGATTGGCTTTTGCCAGATCAGAAGGGCATCTACATTGAGTATGACGAACTGGAAAATCTGCAGAGTGGCGCGTCGTCGCTGGGCTCCCCCTTGCTTGGACAGTCAGTGCAAAGGCTGGATCATCAATCGGGGTTCTCTGGCACGGAGCACATTCCAGGTGGACCGACCGCGATTTCCGACGAATTATTTATTGAGACACTGGATAAAGTAGAGGAATCCAACGCAGCTGACTCTCCAAAAGGTGTTTCACTTGAGGAGGGGAATGCTGAAGCGAAGGATCGCGAGACATCTGCTCCGCTAAGTCCGTCTAAGTCGAAAGCGCCTTCTCCAGCACGTGTTGTGGCAGGCGAACGCCGTACACACGTCAAGAAGCGTGGCCGACCAAAAGGAGCGAAGGACAAAGCAGGCAGCAGGGTTCGAAGAACAAAGAAACAGTTAGAAGAACTGAGAAAGAATGTGGCGCTGTTCGCTAGTGCAGTAGGTGGCACGTGTGAATTAGACGAAGATGAGGAATTCGTCGAATCATATGTGATTTTGTCCGTTGCTCAAGCACTCAAGTCTCCTGATGCCGACAAATGGCGGGAGGTTATTGACAAAGAGCATGCGAGACTACTAGCCTTTGAAACGTGGAAAGAAGCTTCTGACGAGGAGCTTGCGACCGCGCGACAGGCTCTACCAATTGCCATAATTCTAACTATTAAAAGATGTGGAAGATACAAGGCTCGCGCTTGTGTCCTCGGTAATCTAGATCGTTCAGGAGAGCTAAACACCTTTGCTCCCGTAGTTTCACACGCCGCTAATAGGCTGCTCCTGACATCTGCTGCGTCAGAACAGGACTATGTGATCCCGTTCGATTTAGATTCTGCGTTCCTCAATGCTGAACTCGATCGCGATGTCTTCTGCCGTCTCCCACCCATCTGGGCAGAGAAGCATGGACGCGAGATCGTGAAGCTCAAGAAGGCCTTATACGGCTTGAAGGACGCACCACGAGCATGGTTCAAGAAATATCACGACATACTAGCCAGTATTGGCTGGGAGCCGTGTGATTCTGCGCCAGGCTTATGGAGAAAGCCGAGTGCGAAGGTACCTGGGAAGTTCCTCAAGATGTCAGTCTATGTTGATGACAATCTTGCAACGGGTCCTGATCTTGATGAGCTCAAGACCGAACTAGAACTCATCTTCTCGCGTGCCCCTGGCCGTGCGATTGATGTGGAGTCCGTTCCAACCCCTTGGGGTCAAACGTGGCTCAGGTTCGACTTCTTAGGTGCCATCGTGTACTACTGCCGTGAAGCTCGAACATTTCGGCTCAATATGGAGGAGTACATTGATAAAATCGCAAAGAAATTCGAAATTGATGTCGGAAAACCGGTTTACTCGCCCAATTTTGACGAGTCGGCTTTTCTTGAGGAGGGGATCAAGATAGTCGAAGGGTATCCCTTTCGTGAGGTAGTTGGTGCCTTGCTATGGGTAGCTGTAACCGCGCGCCCGGACATTTCTGTACCGGTGGCAGCATTGGCTAGACATGTCAGCAAACCCGCGTCAACAAGAATGGTTAAAGCAGCCAGAAAAGTGCTAAAGTATCTGGTGACAACGAGAGACCAAGGACTGGAATACTCACCAGAGCAAGAAGAAGAATTCAATAGAATCTATTCAAAGTTACTACCTGAAGGCAGAGATATGCCAGAGGTGAATATCTTTAGTGATGCAGGTTTCGCCAACTGCGTAAAGACTATGAGAAGTACAAGTGGATCGATCATGTATTTCAAAGGCGTTCCAATTGCTTGGAGAAGTAACCGACAAACTGTCCGTGCCTATTCTACGGCTGAAAGTGAATATATTGCAGCTTCTGACACTATTGTGCTTAGTGAACTGCATGACTTTACAGACTTCTATAGGCCTCTACCAACTCAGTTGGTACACACACAGAACGGCTTGTCTCCCTCTTTAGACAATGCTGTGCTCTGGATCGACAACCAATCCGCGATCACAACAGCCAAAGCAACTGACACACGCCCGAAGAGTCGCCATTATGCACTTCGCTACTTGCGTGTGCGTGATGCGGCCAGTAAGATAGTTTTCTGTCCAACTAACTTAATGAAGGCTGATGGCTTAACTAAGTTAGAATGTAGTTCGTCTCAACGTAGACTACTACTTCACCATATAGATAACCCGATAACTAAAGTTGAGCATGATGATTGTGATTCCTCAGACGATGAAACGAATGGGGATGATTTAGCTTACTATAGTGTAGTATATTCGGTTTATTTTGGTTTCTAGCCGAGTATACCGTAGCCATAGAAGAGCAGCTAGGAGATATGACTTCCGTGGTAGTCCAGAGACTAGGGACTTCGACACGCAACGATTGAGGAGAGGTGTTGGTCAAGGTCATAATCCTCGAAATGTCACAAAGATCACAAGGATGAAGATCAGCAAAATGACCAAGATCGCCAGGCAAAAGGTTACCGGAGCACCATCCAAACGCCCGACGGGTTTACCGTCGCGCGGGTGTCTCTGGCTTCTCCTCTCTCTCTCGTTTGTGGCTCAAGCCTCCCAATACAGTCAAGGACAAAACAGCACCGGAATGATCTCAAAGATAACCTACAGACCTAAATGCATATAGTTCCAAAAACAGTGATCATCAGGCAAAGGACCTTCAACGTATTCAGATAGAAGAAATGATGAATGTTTCATAGCTGTAATCAGGTTCATAACGTACTGTCAGTTCTGATCAATGATGAGAATCAACATAGGATGATCGTATGAATCAATGATGATAGCATAAGCGTTTCCATATGAAAGTTTCCCCATGCAACATGATATCCCAATGATGAAGCTGAGACTTCCTCCATGTAACCCCAATGAACATCCACAGGGATCAAAGCAGCCAGAGATCATTAGTCTCAGGCTGTGAGTGCGAATTGTGCAAACAAGTATCACTCTCAAGTGTTTCTCACCGAGAAACTAGACGCGACTTAACAGTCTGTGTTCGAATGTATCCAACACTTAGAAAGTACAAAGGAGGAATTGAATTCCGTTTCTTGTTAGCCTTTCGTGTTTAGTACTTTCTTAGAAATCAAATATACTCATTGTTTTTCCTGCTTCAACGGTCTACTTATACATACTCAAGAACAGTGGGGGAAGATCAACAGTCGTGGGAGATGAAGAGCAGGGGATCAGAGACCAAGACCAACACTCTTCGATTGATAGATTGATTGATTGATTGATTGATTCACGTGCCTGGCAAGAGGTCGAAGGTCTAACTGTTTGCATTCAGATGAAAGATCTGAGCAATTTCATGTATGTGCTCCTGTTGCCCCAATCGTATCTTGCCCGCCCAATAACTAGAGGTATTTCTATTAGAATTATGTTTCACAACAAGCTTTGCAGATGGCATCTTTCGTGCTTGCCACGACCAGTCTCGACCAACAGAGCAGAGGAACATCAGATGATGGACCCGGCGATGACCTCCTATTACTTCTACCCGGCGATGACCTCCTCTTCTTCTTAATTGAATGACGATGACCTCCACAAAAATTAGCTGTCCGTAATTCATCTTTCAAGTGCTGTATCCTTTTCAAAAGTAAGTACGATGGGGGAGTATTCCGGACTCCCTTAGGTGGATACTCCTCCATACGTTTCAAGGATGCGTGTCCAAAGATGTAGTAGGTACAGCGTTAAAAAAACTATGCAATGATGGTCTTGGATCCCCGTCTACGGTCGCATGGGACTTGGATTCAGGCATTATTCTAGTACTAGTGAGGGTGTATCATCTATGCCAAAAAAACTACAACGGTGTTGGATCTAAGTAAGTAGTCTTACATGCCCAGAAAGCGGGCCCATCAAGGGCCCGCTGCGCTGGGCATAGGTTAACAACTAGACAGGTTGACTACTAAGAGACAGAAAGACAAACGAAAAAAGCCGCCAAGTCTGCTCGCCAAGGCTGGGAAGCTGACTCCCACTGTGGCGAGGCTAGTGAGGAGGCTACCGCTATGGCAGGCTACTGCCTTGGCCAACTTGCTTGCTAAGAGCAAGCCAATGGGCGCCAAGGCTGGCCCGCTGAGCGTCATGGAGTCCATGAGAAGGCCACGCCTGGACATATGTAGGCACAGAGGTTGGGCCCTTTTGAGTGTGATCATGTCCAGGAGAATCCTAAAGCATAGCATAGATACCCATGGGATGGCAAAAGGCTGACACTGGCGAGCGTCATGGACGAGGCCCATGAGAAAGCCACGCTTGGGCATATCTATGCGCAGAGCCAGGAGCTGGGCCCCAACCTTCAGGCGCGGGGATGTGTCTATAAGGTTGGCTGTTTCATGGACATGACACAAGACGCCCACCACGGTCCGCGCCTCAGACATGCAATGGCCCACAGTTATCATCCTCACGCACAGGCATCGACGGAGATGCATGCGCCTGGCCTTCTCATGGACATGATGACGCCCGCCAGGGTCCACCCTTATCCACTTTCTCACAGACATCGACATCCTCAACGGCTTCGACTTTCGCAGGCAAATCTGTACACCTTTGGCCCTCTCATGGATATGATCTGATGACGCTCACCAGGGTCCACCCTTCAGACACGCAAGTGCTCAAGGCTATCACTCTCACAGACATCGACATCCCCAACGGCTTCGACTTTCAAACACAGAGATTTACATCTTTGGCCTTCTCATGGATAGGATGACGCTCACCAAGGTCCACCCTTCAGACATGCAAGTCCTCACGGCTATCATTCTCACAGGCATCGACATCCTCAACGGCTTCGACTTTCAAGCACAGAGATGCATACCTTTGGCCTTCTCATGGCTATGATGATGCTCACCACGGTCCACCCTTCAGACATGCAAGCCCTCACGGCTAGGGCTATCATTCTCACAGACATCGACATCCTCAACGGCTTCGACTTTCACACGCAGCGATGTATGTCTTTGGCCCTCTCGTTGATATGATGATGCTCACCAAGGTCCACCCTTCAGACATGCAAGCCCTCACGGCTATCATTCTCACAGACATCGACATCCTCAACGGCTTCGACTTTCATACACAGAGATGTATATCTTTGGCCTTCTCATGGATATGATGACGCTCACCAGGGTCCACCCTTCAGACATGCAAGTCCTCACGGCTATCATTCTCACAGACATCAACATCCTCAACGGCTTCGACCTTCACACGCAAACCTGCACACCTTTGGCCTTCTCATGGATATGATGATGCTCACCAGGGTCCACCCTTCAGACACGCAAGTGCGTGCGGCTATTATTCTCACAGCCATCGACATCCTCAACGGCTGCGACTTTGAAGCGCCGAGATGTATGTCTTTGGCCTTCTCGCGAATCAATATGATCACGCTCGTCAGCCTCTGCCTTTTCAAGTGCTCACCCTCTCCCTTACAATTCTCCCGCTTTTGTGCTGGTTAGAAGTAGACTGGTCAACNTTCTCACAGGCATCGACATCCTCAACGGCTTCGACTTTCAAGCACAGAGATGTATACCTTTGGCCTTCTCATGGCTATGATGATGCTCACCAGGGTCCACCCTTCAGACATGCAAGCCCTCACGGCTAGGGCTATCATTCTCACAGACATCGACATCCTCAACGGCTTCGACTTTCACACACAGAGATGTATGTCTTTGGCCCTCTCGTTGATGTGATGACGCTCACCAAGGTCCACCCTTCAGACATGCAAGCCCTCAAGGCTATCATTCTCACAGATATCGACATCCTCAACGGCTTCGACTTTCATACACAGAGACGCATATCTTTGGCCTTCTCATGGATATGATGACGCTCACCAGGGTCCACCCTTCAGACATGCAAGTCCTCACGGCTATCAACATTCTCACAGGCATCAACATCCTCAACGGCTTCGACCTTCACGCGCAAACTTGCACACCTTTGGCCTTCTCATGGATATGATGATGCTCACCAGGGTCCACCCTTCAGACACGCAAGTGCGCACGGCTATCATTCTCACAGCCATCGACATCCTCAACGGCTGCGACTTTGAAGCGCCGAGATGTATGTCTTTGGCCTTCTCGCGAATCAATATGATCACGCTCGTCAGCCTCTGCCTTTTCAAGTGCTCACCCTCTCCCTTACAATTTTCCCGCTTTTGTGCTGGTTAGTAGTAGACTGGTCAACCATCTCCAAGGGCTGCCGCGCGCTCCTGTGGTGTGCCGTGGTCGATTGCTGTGCGCGGAAGGTAGTCGCGGAAGGGGAGCGAGCTAACTTTTTTCCAAAAACTTCAGGGAGGTCGTTCAGTTTTCTCTGTATTTGAATGACTTCCCTGAAGTTTTTGAAAAAAAGTAAAGGCGTCGGGCGATATATGACAAGGGTTGCGGTTGGAAGTTCGTTGGGGCGATTCGCTAGGGGTGGGCGCGTAGTGTCTTGCTGCAGATGTGGCTGGTGTACGTGAGTAGCCTACAAACTAACAGCCGCGAACACGTTAGCACGTTCTTGACACTTTTGGACTCGTAGTACTAGCAAGGTCCTTAAGGAGCCGCTGTTATTAGCCCAAGTCTATAACAGCTTGTCCTTAAGGGACCTCCTTAAGGGAGTTTTTTGCTCTTAAGGAAAGTTATAGTAACTTTTTATAATAAAAATTCCTTAAGGAAACTGATCTCCTTAAGGAAGCGCCTTAAGGGAGCTCCTTAAGAGATTTCTGGGAATTGCTAATACTATAAATACTAATATTGTTCAGTTCTTGTATTCATTCATTCATTTACCTGTTCTGAAGGTAGCTATATATTCTACCAAAAAAACTACGGTCGTCGTTGTGGATTTCTTGCGTATAATTCTTATAAGGGAATAATTGGTCATGAGTCATTCCTCCGTGTTATGGTTCAGCCTCATCTACCTACTAGCTAGTAGGCATCAACACTTACAGATACAGTTTGTTATGTGTTTCTTATCATGATACGTTTTTCCCTAGGCAGTAGGCATCAACACTTACAGAGACTCGCATTTCTGTGTTTCATCTTATGATATGTAAAATAAATGTCTTCTGCTAGCAGCGTCCGGCAGCAATTTGTTTAACTATTATCGTACTGGTACTATCTATAACTACAAGTACTACGAGTACGATCTATGCCTTGATCTATGTATACTAGTAGTACTACGATGATCTATAAATAGAAGCAGTCACGCTTCCATCTTCAGCCAGCGAGGCACTGAGTCCAAGAACAAATCGATTTCGGTCCAAGCACGGTACATTTCATCTGACCCGCCTCCGCCCTCGTAAAGAAACCATTTTATGTTGCTTTTTCTTCCCAGATCCTTTAAGATCTCCAACCTTAGAGTGAACTCTCCCATCTTATCAGTGAGAGAGGAGAAAAGAAAAAGAGATTGATAGGGAATGTTGTCGATTGTAAAAAAGCTACGCCTAATCAATCTCCCATCAAAATCAATCTGGAAGACGCCGATCATCCTACACACAGACACATCTTCTGAAGAAGAAGAAGATGGATCAAAACCGATTAGGGTACTTGTTAAGTTGTAAGCCTTAATAAAACCTCTGCTAGTAAAGTTCTATCGACTTGTTTTCGCAGCCTTTTGCCTTCTCGAAGATAATACTGCAAACAGTCAGACAAGGCTCTGCAACTGTCACGTCTCGTTAGAGCTAGTCAATAACTCTCTCTGGCGGAGGTGGTTAAGAGGAGAATATCTCTGCTCTTCAGAGTCCATATTAGTGCATCGTCCCCTTGACTTCTCATCCAACATGCGTCCCTGTAGTTGCCATCTTCACTGACAGGAGCCTGTAGGGATCTTTCCTTCAGTCCACATCAAACTATAGATACAGTGATTGACAACTAGCCTTATCCTTGAGAAGTCAAAGCCATCGATTCTCTCCAACTTCGGCCATCGACGCAGAGCCTCCACCCAAGAACGGAGCAGAAACAGAAGATCAGCAGCTTGCTCCTCGCGCATCTTCCTGCCCCATGTGATATTAGACGTACCCTCTTGGTGTTTCTGTTTCCCGTTTGATGTAATGCTCATCTTCCCAATTCAGAAGACTAGTCAAAACAAACGGTAACAGGCCTACCCCTTTAGCCTACCCTTAATGATGTCATGGATCGGCACGGGCACGAGCGGGATTGCTAGGACCAGCTGCTCCAAATGCGGCACAGTGGAGTGCAAACTTTTCAAGAACGAGAAAAAGAGCTCAACTTTGATTTTCGCCTGAGGCTCTCTATCATGATAGTAGCCAAGAATCCCAAACTCGTGCCACAAATCCAACTGTAAAACTTCTAGGGTATTTTTCCAAGCAGGTAAGTGCCTCTCAATGCAGTCCCGGTTGACACTTTTGACACCTAGCAAGCTCAGTTCGCGCAGTCGGCCGAAAGCCGCGAGCTTCGGAAGAACAGAATTACAGATTAGATCCTATGCTGCAGATAGATGTGCCTGACAACAAGAGGTCACGTTTTGAGGATTTTCTTTCCTCATTCAAGATCATGCTTCTAAAGATGATTACGGCAATTACGGCAAGCCTTAAATAAAGTCGATGCGCTGATGTTGGTGTCTCGAATGCTTGTTCTACGCCCCTCTGCAGCTGGAAATCAACGGAGACAAGACTACTCGCTGCCATCTCAATGACATTTAGATCTCATGTCATCCATGAAATGTTTTTCTTACAGAAGCAGATGTTTTCCCCATAATTCTTATGGGACTGCTGCTCGAGTTCTAAGAGGCTTCAGAAGTACTGGAAAGACTGAAATAAGGAAGTAAAGAACTTCTAGAATAACAGTGGAGAAGTAGATAGTACTCTTGAGTGAAATAAGAGCAACGAACCTCTTTCAAAGCTGCCTCCGCCTCCTACTGCAGTGATCCATTAATGTGGATATTTCTAGTTTTCGAGTAGTTGGATTCTTACTAGGGTACAGTATTTACGCCTTAAGATGTCAAGACACCACGAAAAAAGGTGCTCTTGAATCCAAGTCGACGTTTTTTCGCTAATGAGTGCATTTCTTCCGATGAAGGTGGCCACCGAGAAAAACTGGAATGCTGGACTGTTAGACCTTCCCGGAATCCATCCTGAAAGCCATGGTACCGGAACTGAGTACTTATATATTTATAAGTGGTTTTCGTTTATAAGTAACTCTTTTCGTCCCTCAGAAGATAGGTTACAGAACCTGTTCATCTGAAGACGGATTCATATAATTGATCGGGAGATTCCCTCAGATTGACTGAGGCCCGTGGTGATATTTTCCTCTTCACATAGTCTAGAGAGATGTCGTCCCAGGATCGACGCTTCTGAAGACGTAATTACTTCTGAAGACTGGTCTTAAGGTTGTCCCGAATGAAGGGGTCCAACAGTCTGGGCACATCAAGACGGATGCTCTGGTGGAATCGAGGACCTCTATTCTCCTCACGCAACATCCAGACAACCTCCCCTAAGAGCTTCTCTTGACTAGTACAACGGCCGTCGTGTTGTAACTGGCTCTCGACGTCAGGAGATGAAGACCCATGATCTCCATCCTCTTCGGTGGAACTACAAGCCGCAGCATCTTGCTGAGTTTGATCTTTTTGCTGGCGTCTTCGTCGTCGGCAAGGAAAGTATACTAGAGACGTCCTCGAAAGGGACTTTCCAGCCTCGTTGCAGTCGGTTGACTGACGCTCTTCCACCTCACCACAGCTGATCTCCGACGACTCCATACGGGAACCACTCTTCACTCGGCGAGCACCCCCTATACTTGCTTTCCGGAGGCGAGGAAGATGCACCTTCTCTCGCATCATTTGGTAGCATCGGGACTCAGGGTGGTCGAGACTTCTTGTGCCATATTCATATTGGGCATCATCAGCATCACCATCCTGAACAATTACAAGAGAGCAATCCCATTTCTTGGGATCCATCTTGGGACTCTTCGAATCTGCCGGATCTGTTTTCCCGTGCTTAAGGGAATGAGGCAGATTCGAAATCAGCTTCGGGGAGATGGAAGATTCGGGGAAGGAGCCATAACTGAAACATGATTTGGGGCCGCCAAATCAGACTGCGAAATTTTTTCCGAGCAGCCATGGGAGAAAACTCGAAAGGCAATGTTGTTCTTCCATGCTTAGCTGGTGGCTTCTTGTTCACATAAATATTTGTTGTTGCTTCCTTCCCTGTAGTCAGCTTCCTGTTAATGGAATCCACACGACCTGTCGCAACCGCACTACGAGAAACGCCAAGGCCTCCCTCCAGAGCAGGCCGCGAAGATGTACATATGGTAGTTGTTGTCGTTGTTGTTGACAATGACGCCTCCTTTTGTTCAACATCAGCATTAGCATGTGAAAAAAAGGATTCAACAGCATCAGCAGGGTGCTCATCAAGCTCAACAGTATCCAAAGCCCATGTCGAGGCGTGACAGAGATGCAGCAGTCCTTGTCGAAGTTCTTGTTCGTCCGAATCCCGCGAGGTTAAGGACAGCGTCACGTCAGGCAGACTGGCAAGGGCAAAATCTCTATTCTTGTTCTGCTCTCCTGCCCACGGTTAGATAATTGGAAGCGTCTTTATTAAGCTACTTACTTTTGGATCCCTACCAGGTCGATGACAGGAGGTGAGGCGGTCGCGGTTAAAAAACAAAGTAGTAAGAGTATTTATTCTTAGTAGTAAGAGTTGTTAAAAAACAAAGTAGTAAGAGTATTTATCTCACCACAAAAATATTGAGGTGGACCTACTCCTTAACACGAGAGCTGCTCGGCGTAGGACCTGCACAAGCTGGGATCTATTTCGACGCTCTCTACGCAACGGAGCTGAATCGGAATAAGAGAAAGAACGCTTTGTTCAGGTTCGGAAGATTTACAACTTCGCCGAGTACTAGTAGAACTTGAATTTCTACTAGCAGGTAGTAGCTCAGCTCCTTTTCCAGAGGAAACGTGATGAAAGAATGCTTATTAAAAATGTCTGGTGGTCCATGGCCGCGCCCCGATCAGTCGTCGCGCTTTCCTTTTCCCTTGAAATAAGCACTCAGGGGAAAGCGCTACGACAGCTCAGACGGGATCGCAGGTGCCCTCTCGAACTCGATCCTCCAGGTGGTTATTATTTTCTAGCTGCCATATAAAATGTTCCTTCTGCAAATTGTTTCCATTAATGGACGTAATAAAGAAGCAAGCTCCGTGCTCTTCTGGTACCGCCTCGCCTGCAATGGTTGAAATGGTGCCAGTCTTCTCTGCACGTCTACAATAGAGATAAACTTGAGTTAGGGTTGAAGAAAGTTGGCCTCTCTAGCTCGCATACGATGATCCATGGCTTTCCTACTAAGTTCAACGACGAAGCCATAGAAATGCTCTTAGATGATAGGCCAACTTCCAAACCTTAATTGAAGGGCTCACCCCACCTGCATATTTAACGGGAGTCAATCACAATCACCAGTTGCATCTGTGGGGACCGATGTGGAGACCGATGTATGAGTTCCCTTATTGATCTTCCGTCTTCCGCAGAAGTTCTAGGAGGAAGGAACCCACTCAACATCGGTGTCCACATGGAGTAGTGATCGATCAGCCTTAACGCTGACACAGTCGCGACGGGCAACGCTTGTCTTCAAGAAACAAAAGAATGTCGTGGATATGACTGCGGTATTTTATCCCCTATAGAGACAGAGACAAACCTTCGAGGCTCCACCCCTTCAGGCTAAAAATTATATGCACTTTCATCAAGGGGCAAAGGGGCAGCTTCGATGGTCTGTTAAATGGGGAAAAAAACCAAGCCCATAGTGTAAGAACAAGTACGCCCTTCCTTCTCCCGATGCCTCCACCTCAAACTCTACTATGCCTTCGCCTCTTAAAGCATGTAGATCTTTGAATTTCAAGAAATCTACTGAGATCAAAGTTCGTTTTTCACTACTCGTGGCTGAGTGAGTTGCCCTCTTTCCTCACTTTAGCAGGCTGTTCCCAAATATTGATAAGGAGCTTTGAAGCGGAGACAACACACAGCGCTCCATAGGTGATTGAAACTCTAGTATATCTAGTTGTAGAGTCAAATTCTTGTCTGCGCATCCCCATCACTGAGGATACCCCACACGACCGAATAGTGCTTGGGAACCCCGACATCGAAGACCTAAGGCTAGTACATAAGCACTATAATTCCTTAAGTCTTCTTTTTTGTACATAGTAAGTACTATAGCCTTAAGTCTTCGATGTCGGGGCTCCCATGGTCGTCATGCGACCACGGCAACGCAAGAACGTAGTTCTAGTTTTTTTTTTTAGTACCTTCATGGTAATCGTTCCGGCGGGTAGACAAGTGGGATATATTTGTCGTAGTCCACTCAAACGGCTTACCACACCAAATAACGTAATAAGGCTCCTTTTTGTTAGAGTGTTGTTGCAGCTTGCGCTCAAATCATGATCATCCTTCAGTCCTTTGTTCCTATGTTGATTGGGAAATAAAAGTCAAGAATGACAGATAGCGCAGGATGCAATGTAGAAGCCTTTAACTTCGTCCACAGGGAAAGGGAGAGTGAGGTACCGATCGTCAGGCTGAAAGACGTCGAGGGCGTCTTTCAATGCAGCTCGCTTCATCGAGCCAGAATCATCTTCCGCGAGCTGCTCCCTAGTTGTATTCTTACAACATGTTATGTTGAAGCACAACATTTCGTTTCGAACTACCAGCGCTGTAAGGGAAAAAGCATGGAAAAACGAAATGTTTTCTCGACCCTTAAGACGTCGATGGTCCTCCTCATCTCCTGCTGAGGCTCCGTCTATCGGCAACATTTTCTTCAGCAAAGAAATGTCGACACACTCTTCAAGCTTTTGCGTTCTGGGGTTCCGCCGCCACCCAAAAACATCGCCAAGACCCATCCCCAGAGGCAAATCTGAAAAGATTGACGCTAACAAAGTATCGAGACCTTCCCTTTCCACCCTAGTGCTAGCTTCAATATTTTTCTGCTCTGAGGTTGTTGAGGAGGTGCTGTTCGTGCTCCCTCTGGAATTAAGGTCTTGACGATGACGATGATGATGCTCTTTTTCTTTCTGTGCAGTGACTTGACCATGACTCGTGTCCGTAGGTCCTTCGTGAACATACTCGTCTTCATCTTCTCCACGACCGTACAACTGGCCTTCTTCGTCCCCCACCTTTCCACGACTCTGGTTGGGTGCTTCATCTTCGTGCCCTCCTTCCTCTTCTCCTTCACAACTCTCCTCCTGGCAAGATAGAGATGCGGTTCCACTCCTGACCAATGATATTAGAGGTAGGATTTTGGTGTTTGTGTATTCCGTCTGTACTTATGTCTGTGGTTTCTCCCTTACCGATGTTACGTACAGTTATACGCCTGTGGTTTCTCCCTTACCCTCAGAGGGTCGGAGAGCCATAAGAAACGGCAGCAGGAACAACACTTAAAACCTACTTACCCTTAACGAGAGACGCCCTGGGGAGTATCCGCTTTTCCGATACGAACCTTCGGTGATGGAACTTGATGCGGCTAGATGCGACAGGACGGCAGAGAGAGGCACAAACTTGCCACAAATTGCCAGTTCTTCCCATACTGCGCACGAGAGGAGAACTACCTCCTCCCCACTTGGGGAGAGAAACTGGAGCTCCGTTGGGCATGGGGAGGACATGATGAGATCGGATTTACTTTTCTTGTATATTTGTAACTGATTCTATTGGTGCCATGCCTTGTTCTTCAAGAATAGGTGTTTGCTTTTTTGTTTTTGCTTCTCGTCCTTCAAAAATTGTTAATGAAGAGAACCACTACCAGTAATTTAGTATCGATCATACCACAAAAATTGTTAATGAAGAGAACCACTAACAGTAAGTTACAGTATCGATAATGCCACAAATAGAACCTCCACTACCAGTAAGTTAGTATCGATCATACCATGCCTTGTTCTTCAAGAAGAGAACCACTACCAGTAAGTTAGTATCAATAATACCACAACTAGAACTATCTTTTAGTGAACTTACGAGCTGTGATTTAGTAACCCATGGTGATAGGAAAGCCTCATCGATCATTATACGTTTGTAGACACTACAAGACAATACAATACAATAAATCTCGCACAAAGTGCAGAGTGCAGCAGATGGATGAAAGGACAAAGTCGGGGAAATTGTAAACAATTGCGTTCTCTGTTCTGGTAGGTTGAGGGAACGCTGGCCGCTTAGATTCTTTCTTCTGGTAGGGCTTTCGTGTTCTTGTTTGAATATTACAGTACTCGACAGACACTTTCATCTGGTGCTGTAGACAAGTTTCTCCTCGAACTAGCTGCTCACTCGACAATGATACGAACCGACGCACTGATGTAGTGACCATGACTATAGGCCCGAAGAAGTGGAGATCGCTGCAGTTGAGGTACCCGTATCCTTTCAAACAACTCTGAGTCTCAGAAACCGAACACGATGGATAAAAATAAAGTAGATATAATCCTGCATTTTTTCCACTTCTTGTCCTTTTTCCACTTCTCTATTATACCTATTTTCTTGCGGTAATTATAGGATCTTCACCAATTTCATGTCTAGTTCAACTCCAAAGACTTGAGGAAGCGTTCCATTTCCACCAACAACTACACTCTTGGACATGCGATAACGACCAGTGCTCTTTCCATTCGTTCCAATTCCAATTCCACCGCTTCCACCACCAACTACAACAACATCATCTCCACGACCAAAGAATTTTGCATATTTGGTAAAGCAGTCATCTTTGAAAAACTCATCTTTCTTACCGCACTCCGCTTTCTAGTCGGGGAAGAAAGCATCTACAAGCTTATCTGTTCTGATCGGTTGCGGGAAAAGGTTTACAACCCTCATGTGATCATAATTTGTGCCCTGCTGCTGGGCAGCTGCTTCATCTTTTAGAGGAGCTCACCCGCTTCCATCTTGAGTTGCATCTTGCTGCTTCTTTCTCCTTATGCGACGGCTCCAAGATGCTCCTCGAAATGGGAGATTAGGAGAAGCCTTAATTCTTGAGGCTCTGAGTTGTTGATGTTGTTCACAACAATTTTTCGGAGTCTTGGTGACTAGGTCAAAGAAGTAGTTCTTCTTGCACATGTTTTTCCCAAAGATCTCGTATGAAGGCGGATGAAAAGTAGATAGCTCTCCTTGAATTCCTCCATCACAGACCTCTCCAACTTGGTCCGGTTTCTGCCGTACTCGGAAGTTAGAGCTATTTAGTATTTACCTACCAAGCAAGCATCTTCCTCTTTGAGAGTGACGATATCCTTTGGGTGGCCGGGGCTCCTTTTTCAATTCGAAAAAGAAGATCCGAGGATCATGCTCCTGTAGGCGGATGCGTCAGGGGAAGGGGCAGGGCCAAGGATGATCCTGAGGACGCTTCAGGGGTAGACGCCTTAATGAATCTGAGCGGCGGTCCCGCTGTAGATAACCTAGACGGTCCCAAACAAATCGGTCTTCGTTGAGGCAGTGGAGTTCCTGCTCGACATTTTCCGGAGACGCCAAGTTTTTTTAGACTTATTTGATGTGATTAGTGTATTGAGCACTTGGTTCAGTGGCTAAGGCGTTGGCCTGTTCACTTATCACTTTGCCTCAGGTCAATCTGCGGAACGTCTTGATGCCCGTTTTCTCAAACCTACTTTATTTCCTTAATTCCATCTTCCGATGCAGCGCGATCTTCTGCTTTCAACTTCTCGTAATCCCTTTCTTTACTCTCCTCCACGCTCGTCATAGGGGTGTTACCGTTCACGTCTTGCTTCAGACTGTTTGCGCCCAGTTTGAAACCAGTAGCAGCCGCGCAAACAACTGTTTCGTAGTTCTTAGAATAGAAGTTAACTAAGCTGCACTTGATTAACGGATATAAGTGTACGGCATCAGACGATCATCAGACGAGGATTCATCCACTTGACTAGCGGATGACTCATTCATTCATTCATTCACCTAGCAAGAGGTCGTTCACATGAGACAAAGACTCCTCTAGATTGATGATTGATTGAGGTACCTGGCAAGACCAAGAGGTATACCTGGCAAGACCACCAAGAGGCATATCCATTCATTCATTCATTTACCTGTTCTAGAGGTTTCCAATTGTCTTACAGTTGGAAAATTGCTTTGCAGTTGCAGTGCTCCCGTAAAATTCTCCATCGACAAGTCGTCGATGTTCTTGCTGTTGTAGTAACCACGATAATCCGAATATTGGTCGGTAAGATTACTCCCGACGTGACCAGTGTAGCCAATGAGTGCGGCATTGGAGCCTGGGAATAACGATGCTGGCGCCTCAGAGCCAGGCGGCGACGAAGTGGAGGGCATGGTCATGTTGTTGTTTGACTCTTTTTGTTTGGAAGTGGAGGGCATGGTCATGTTCTTGTTTGACTTTTTTTGTTTGAAATCACGGCTGTAAATAGTTCTTGAAGAGTACTTATCTTGCCTCTGCCTGTCACGACTTCATGAAGCCCGTCTTACTTTGTCTACTTTTCTTCACTGTTCCTGTCTTCACTCGCGGCACTCTCGTAGTCCTCTCAGTCTGTGGTGCTTTCTTGACTTTACAAAATTTGTATCCTTTTTTGGAACAACATCATGCTTGCGAACGACATTAAGCACTAGTAGTCGCAGAGATAGTTGTCGCAGCGACATCACTTAGTCGTTGCTCAGCGCGGCTCCTCGGTGGAGCTGTTGACATGAAGTTAGTCCATGGTTCGAGAGGCACAAGTCAATTCTTCCATGGTTCGAGAGAGTTTCAACCTCATGATGGGTAAGTCGAAGTATGTTGTTTCTCATCTTCAAGACGAATCTCCTCATAAACTTCTGAAGCAATGAGTAGTAATATATAAGTACTTTCATCTAGACCTACGACATCTACTGAAGAACTCAAGCTGCTTTAGAAGATCTTACAGACTTCTAAACTTACAAGCACTTCTTGTATGTGATTTATGTAAATGGCTGAAGATATCCCTCCTTATCCTCTAAAAAGAACTCAGGCAATGAATACGTACAACTGTAAGTAAGCTTTTTATCCAAGCATTCATCTGTTACTTTCTGACGTCGAGTTAATGTTGTTGCAAGAAATCCAAGTTTGTTGAGGCAAATGGTTCTCTTTTTTGAACTCAAAGAAAAACTTAAGCAAGAAGACGGTCAACCATCGCATCCGTAATCGTAGTAAATCTTCGCCATCAAATCTTCTCCACAAAATCAAGCTTCAACATCCTCTTCTTCATCGAGTTGTCCCTGAGCAGATGATCATATTAGGAATAGCAAATCTAAAAGAACAAGGGAACGGTGGTGCACTTACACAAATATGTTTGGCGACTTAGAGCGCAGGAGCACGTGATTCGCTAAATGGATCACTAGTTGCTAGATGAAGTTAGACTTAGAGAAGTTAAAGAAACGACTACTAGAGCGGTCAAAGTCAAAGAAATATAAGTTGTAATGAATGAATGAATGAATGAATGTGCCTAAAAAGAGGTGTTGCAAACGAGATCGATCAATTTTAGAAGTACCTGCGTCAGCAGAGTCACCCGTCGCCATAGCCTCTCCATCCTTGAGGATCGTGTCCTCTCCTCTTTACCAGTATCCCTATCCTTGAACCTCTTGTCCTCTTTACCAGTATCCCTATCCTTGAACCTCTTGTCCTCTTTACCAGTATCCCTGCGGTGGTCCACCGAATCCCTTGCCGCCATCATAGCCTCCACCGAAGCCACCTTTTCCACCGAAGTCACCGAATCCACCACTTGAGTTAGAGAGTCCACCACTTCATTTACTGCACCCTAACCCTTATGTCGTTTTCTAGTTTTCTAGTATAACGTAAGTATCTATTTATCTATACTTGGGTATTTCTATATAACTTGATGTGAAGAAGCATAACCTTTCCGCCGAAGCCCTTGTCGAAGCCCTTTCCCTTGCCCTTGCCCTTTCCTTTCTGGCGCGGAATGCCATCACCGTTTCCCGTCACGTTCACGGCTGAGGTTTTCTGCTTCTGCTCATCCCAGAAGGTATCATAAAAGACCGTCTCACCTTCGTTGAGGCTTTTGAAACCGTCTTTGTTGATGGAAGAGAAAATTAGAAGAGCGTGGGAGGTGCAGAAGGAGGATAAATAACGTGGTAACAAGCGTGAGATAAGTGCTTGAGAGAACGGAGAAGTAGAGGAGAAGAAAAGCGCGCGGCTAGTCACTAAGAACAAGTTTCAGTTTTGGGGCTTATGAACAAGTTTCAGTTTCAGTTTTGGGGGATTCATTGGATGTCCTTGTTGATGCGTAATTTTCATAGCACAAGAAAGCTGGCGATGTCGTTGGACTCGAAGCAAAAACCTACTGAACATCATTACTTTTGAGTAGAAGAAGCCTTAAAAAGTGAACAAACAAATCCTCTCCTCCAGTTGCTGGTTGGATGAACCCAAAGCCCTTTTCCGAAAACCACTTCACGGTACCTTGCTGCGACATCTTTTTAGGAACTACGAGTGAGGGTGAGCACAAGAAGACCTCCACGACTGGACGATATTAAAAGTAAAAGTACGAAGTTGTAGTAAAGGGCGATAAAAGTAAAACTACGAAGTTGTACAACTACTAGCAGTGACGAATAGTATACAGCGTAGCTTTTTTACTACCCGCAAATGCGGTGGACCCTGGTGCTATGAGTTTGTGTAGACACAGAAAATTTGATCTCAGATAATTAGTACTAGGTATTTAGCGACACAGAAGAGAGGTAAGTGCGCTCACGAAGTTGGTAAGTAAGTTGCCAGATATGAAGAAGTAGGGTGCTTACATCAAGGGCTGGTTAGGTTAGATTACGGATCCTACATGAAAGACAGCGCAATGCAATACAACACAATAAATCTCGCACAAAGTTTAGTGCAGACTGCCTTAGGACGCCGTAGTTGTTCGACACGATAATAACTCACACAAGATTCTAAGCCAGCTGATAACTGCAAAGCGGTTCGGAAGTGAGAGGGGAACTAATAACTGCAAAGCGGTGTGGTCAGAAGTCAGTATTCGCTATTCTTGAGTTGCACATAGACATTTTGATAAAGCAACTTGGTCGCAAGTGATTCACAGCTGAAGATGTTTGACTCTGTTACGGCATTCCCGCCTGTGCTCATAGCCTCACAAGGTTCGATGCATGCAAACAAGTATCGTCTTTTTCTGCATCATGTAGGTTGAGCTTCATCGCAGCGGGATAAAGATTTCACTGGAGCAATGCAAAGACGAGGTCTTCCTATTTATAGTTTCTGAAGATTCTATTTCAGGGATACTATAGTGAGGACTGAGACACAGAAGATGAACACAGATGCAACCTGAACTGTGGAAGAGTCTTCCATTATGGCCAACGCCACCTTCAGTGAAATGAATATGAGAGCAGTCGGGGTAGGTTCGAAGTTGGTTCTACCTCACGAACCGGAACCGTTTCCTCATTTTTTTGGCTTTCCTTTTTGCATTTTGTATGCGATTTTGCAGCATCTACCTGTCAATCATGATAGATTAGAAGCAGAGCCTTGTTGTTCACGACCAACGGTATAATAACCCCAGCTAAGAACCACGTTGATCTCATATATTAACCAGAGTTTGCAGCCGAAATGCACATGCACCACATTTTTGGACATTTACGTAATAATCTCATTGGCCTTAGAATTCAAGAGGAAGGGACGACTCTTCTTTATGAAAACAAGCGCTAAATGTAAGTAATCATCTTCTTCCAGGGAGACGCTTACCCTTTAGCTTGGGGGTGTTACTTGGTAACGCCACCACCATGACACCATAAGAATACCAACAACATGGACACGCTTACCATTTAGGTCGCGGGCGTTACTTGGTAACACCAAAACCACAACAACAGGGACAAGCCTGCCAGGGGCATAATATCTGAAAGGCTTCGGCCCCTTACTGCGTCGGTCAAAAAATTCTACAAAAAAACGCGCCTTAAGAACCTTGCTGCTCTAAACGAAAATGATCAGCATGCTATTGCGAAAAAAAATGAAGAAATTCTGGATGGTAATGCGATTTCTTTTCTTCATCTACTTCTTGTTTATCAATTCTCATACCTCTAGTGCAATTGAAGGTGGCACTTTTGTGCGGCATCGCCTGACACTTACTTAGCTTAAGACAGCGCGAGCGCTCGACAAAAGGCTGCCCTCAGCGTCATATCTGAAGTTGCGTCATTCCTCATGCCACACTAGTGTACCGACCGGCAATATTTAGTACTACGTCCGTGCCATAAATTTAGTTCTAATAGATACGTCTTAGTTCTAGTATGACAATCTTTTGAAGCATGTAACTTCTAGTTTTTAGTATTTATCTTCGGTCTCCTTGGTTCCTCAAATTATATTCTTCAATAAAAAATAGCACACGACAGACACCCGACTCACCGCCAAATGCAGCGTAGTGCTTGTACTTCTATTTCTAAAATATTCTTCAACGATGAAAGTACGCACTTACAAAAGAGGGGCACGGAGCATGGTCAGTGAGGTCATTGACACCATGAGAATACGAACAACATGGACGCGCTTACCCTTTAGTTTGTGGGTGTTACTTGGTAACGCCACCACCATGACACCATAAGAACACCAACAACATGGACGCGCTTACCCTTTAGTTTGTGGGTGTTACTTGGTAACGCCACCACCACAACAACAGGGACAAGCCTGCCAGGGGCATAGTATCTGGAAGGCTTCGGCCCCTTACTGCGTCGGTCAAAAAATTCTACAAAAAAACGCGCCTTAAGAACCTTGCTGCTCTAAACGAAAATGATCAGCATGCTATTGCGAAAAAAAATGAAGAAATTCTGGATGGTAATGCGATTTCTTTTCTTCATCTACTTCTTGTTTATCAATTCTCATACCTCTAGTGCAATTGAAGGTGGCACTTTTGTGCGGCATCGCCTGACACTTACTTAGCTTAAGACAGCGCGAGCGCTCGACAAAAGGCTGCCCTCAGCGTCATATCTGAAGTTGCGTCATTCCTCATGCCACACTAGTGTACCGACCGGCAATATTTAGTACTACGTCCGTGCCATAAATTTAGTTCTAATAGATACGTCTTAGTTCTAGTATGACAATCTTTTGAAGCATGTAACTTCTAGTTTTTAGTATTTATCTTCGGTCTCCTTGGTTCCTCAAATTATATTCTTCAATAAAAAATAGCACACGACAGACACCCGACTCACCGCCAAATGCAGCGTAGTGCTTGTACTTCTATTTCTAAAATATTCTTCAACGATGAAAGTACGCACTTACAAAAGAGGGGCACGGAGCATGGTCAGTGAGGTCATTGACACCATGAGAATACGAACAACATGGACGCGCTTACCCTTTAGTTTGTGGGTGTTACTTGGTAACGCCACCACCATGACACCATAAGAACACCAACAACATGGACGCGCTTACCCTTTAGTTTGTGGGTGTTACTTGGTAACGCCACCACCACAACAACAGGGACAAGCCTGCCAGGGGCATAGTATCTGGAAGGCTTCGGCCCCTTACGGCGTCAGTCTAAAAATTCTACAAAAAGAGCGCGCCTGAAGAAACTTGCTGCTCTAAACGAAAGCGACCAACATGCTATTTGGAAAAAAAGGGAAGAAATTCTGGATGGTGGTGTAAGTTCCAGTGCGGCAATCTGGTGAAGCGTGTAGGTTCTAGCACGTTGCGCTATCGCTAAGTCGTTCATGAAGTCCGTTCTTGTAGAAGGTTCTTCGTGTAGCTTGTTCTAAGACGAAGGCGCATGGAAAGTTGTGTAGTTATGCTTGGTAAAACCTATTAGCAGTTTGTCGTAAAAGTGCTACTACTTGCAACAAAAAACTAGGCTATAGTTCTTTGCACAAGTTGCGCACCTTCATGACGGGCGTGCTTACTAGTAAATGAGAAGCTTCTATTGCTTACTCTGATTGTAGTTTTTAATGCTTTATTTTACAGTAGTAAGTATCAAAATAAATGTCTAAGCTTCTTGTGTCAACTTTGGCTTTCCGTACTAGACTACTGTTGGAAAAAGAAATATTGAAAACAGAAGAGGTGGCTCTTCGTTAGATTTTGTGTGTATGCTTAGATAGATGCCTACTTATCTTGAATACCGTATCTTCCATATTTCCGAAGTATCTCTATACTTGTTGCCATTCCTATTTCAAAAGCTCTTCGTTTTTATCTTCAGTGTAGCAAGCACTTCTCACAGTGTTTACCTATCACCGATATTAATAGAACCACCCTAACCTATGTATATTATAGTAGTCATATCTAGTAGTAGTAGTAGTAGTAGTGTACCCAGTCAAGGGGCATAAAAGAGCAGATGTTAAATATGCACTCGGTAACGGTCTCTAAAGGTATCTTGCTCGGGGAAATTATCATAACACGTACACGAGTTCCCTATTTCATGGTAAGTAATAGCGTTCTTGGTTCTGGTTGTTACAGAAAACATATGAGTTTGAGATAGTACAACACGATCATCACTGTTATTCTGGACTCACAAGAAAAATTGAAAATAGTCATTTTTCCACATTGAAGTCGACGCAGTAAAAAATGTTCGTACAGAAAGTCACTCCTGAGAAGTATGCTCTCTCTTCCCCTTTCCACCCTGTTTTGCTACAGAATTTCACTCCTATTCGCTTTCCCACTTTTTCCATGGAGATAGCCGGATTTGCTCTTTCCTTTTGCAGTTTCCGCACTCGACGAAGAACCGCCTCCACCGACCTTCCCCTGTCCGCCTCCCTTGCCGTTCGTGGTGTAGGAACCAACTACATTGGAATTTTTAGTACCTATTTTTACAGTACGAGTACTACCAGAAGATTTTCCCTTGTAGTTGTAGTTGTGTACTACTTCAGAGGGGCGTCCTTTGGGCGTCGAGTCGTGTTCCATTCTTTCAGATTTGCCAGCACCAGAGGAGGTTGTATACTGAAGATCTTGAGATGCACCTTTGGAAAAAGTTTTTCCCCCACCTTGTTGTACTTGTCTACTAGGTAGAGGGCCATCAACTTCTAGACCATCCTTGTGACTTTTTCCCCCAGCTTTATTCGGTAGAGAGCCATCAACTAGACCATCCTTGTGACTTTTTCCACCACCAGGTAGATGAGAACCATGTTGATCAACTTCTGGTGCAGGTATGCCTCCTCCGCGTCCACGTACTAGCACAGCTTGCGCGTAAGTCTGTTCTTGTTGTTCATATATTAGAGGTAGGTTTTTCATGTTCGCTTATAGCCCTGGTTTGTTATGCTCTTCTCCCTTACAGGAGCAGCAAAACAAGCGGCAACATGAACACCTTTAGCCTAGCCCTAATTGTAGTTCCAGTTCCGGTTCATCATCGCTGTCGCCGAGTGGGGACGATCCCCATCTCTGCCGTCCTTGTTCATCAAGACGTCCGCGCGGTGATGATAGACGTCCGCCTTCTGGAGGAGCTTCTGGAGTCCAACAACCTTTCGTAGTAGTATCCAACGCAGGAGAACTTCTACCTTGCTCTCCAGGACCTTTCGTAGTAGTATCCAACGCAGAAACATTTTCTTCCCCTTCTGCAGCAGTAGCCGCGACCACTTCTTGTCGTGTAGTCCAACAACAACTTCTACCTTGCTCTTCAGGTGAAGGTGACGGACTAGTACCTTGCTCTCCAGAATCCACAACTCGCTCTTCAGGTGAAGGTGCCGGACTAGTACCTTGCTCTCCAGAATCCACGACTTGCTCTTCAGGTGAAGGTGACGGACTAGTGCCTGTTTTAGAATCTACAACTTGCTCTTCAGGTGATCGTTGCCTTTCTGAGAGTGTCTTTCTTTCCTCGACTTCATCCGAGGGTCTCGATGCCTTTGCACCTGAGCAGGCGCCTGACTCTCCGGATGATCTCTCTGCGCTTGTTACTGTTTTTGTGGCTTGAGGTTGTTCATCTCCTGCATCAGCAGCACGAGGACCGCCAGTCACACCTTGATCAACATCCTCTTGTAGTTCCGTGGTGCTGCCATGTGGCGCAGCGCCGGGAATAGGAAACTCTTGCGCAACGCCGCGAACTAGGTCCCTCACCTGAGCCAAACAAGAACGGTCTCTATCTTTTAGAAAAAGCCAAGAGCGATGTTGTCTTAGAAGACAGCGTCATGTCGTGGCGCCTCTTGTGTACAGCTATTAATGTCTACTTTTGAGGCCATCCAATCTTTATCAAAGTCGGTGTAACAAGAGGTAAGTCTTTGTCAATAGAGAAAGAGAAGGAGATGTATAGTCTTCAGGAAAGGATAGTTCTCTGGCATCATCAAATTGGATCTTCTTGTATCGAGCAGGACTAGAATTGTGCTTCCAAAAGCATGAAAATAAGTTCAATTCTGGGAGTAGTCTTGTTGAGAGTAGTAGTGTAGTTGACACTCACACCATAACGTTTTTTCCTTGTCAGTCTCCTCGACATCGTGTTCTTGAAGATGTTCTTCATCATCTACAGCAGAAGTTATTAGAGCTCACCCTAATGATCCATCTTGAAAAGCATCCTTAGAGGACCTCTTCCCCCTGTAAAACGGTCTCGGGATGCATGATCCTTAAGCTTCTTCCAAAGATGGACGAGTAGGAGAGCCCTTAAAGATTGTAGCAACGACTCTCGCGAAGCGAGGTCTTCCTTCCTTACTTTTTTCGCACGCAGAAGCTTCCCCTTCTTCGACCAAGCACACAGGTGGCAGCGCGTGCAGTTCGCCTCATAGACACATCCGCCCGCTTTGAAGGCAAGAGGTTAGAGGAGATAGAGATAGACCACCATCACAAAAAAGTTAATTATGGGGCATCCATTCATTCATTCATTCATTCATTCACTCACATGGTGCATACTTTCCACTAGATCTAAGCCCCCAAAGATCGTGAGAACAGGCACTAAGGTTCAAGGTTGAGGGACCGCTGCTGAAGTTATTCCTCTACCACCACTCCTAGCTCTACCACCACTCCTACCTCTACAACAACTAAAAGTAATACACCTGGTCGTGGCCATGCATTCTTCTTATCAGGAGGTGCTGTATTAGGGTCTCCTCGAGTGAAACTACTAGTACTACAAGGTGGAGAAGATAATCTTCGACCAGCATCATAAAAACGGCAAGCCCACCCGCATCTATGAGGATGGCCGATGGACCCGCGAGAAAGGGGAGGGGGAACTCGCACACGCCGCGCACTACCATGATCATCACATGCCTGGTCCACAAAATCGCCGTCTTCTTTGCGGGTAGCCTGTAAGTTTCATTCATTCATTCATTTACCTAGCACGAGGTTGAGGTCAGACTTAATTATTTGCACGCCCCTTCTATATCTCATTTCTTCACCTTTTTAATGCACTTCTCCTTGTGTGGTCCCATTAAATTCTACTAGCCCAATGGCGGGCCAAACCGCGCTTGTCTTCTCAGATACCATGCTGTTCGCGGATTGATGATGATGATGATGATTGTGCCGATACTAGAGGTGGTGTTTGTTCTAAGGTCAGTCTATCCTGACAAACAAAAAAAGCTATAATAATGATGACAAAGATAAAGTGAAGCCATCACTCAGCTAGAAGAGGTGTGAGAACTAGTCAATTACTGTCAAAAATCAGCTTCTATAAGACAACTTCACTCACTAAATGTACTATACCGAAGATGACGCAGGAAGCGGAGGTGGTGGTGGAAAGTCGTCTTTGCATGCTCGTTCTAATGAGGCAATTGACTCTTGGAGTTCGCGCACTTCGTGACTCAGGTACTCGAGAACGTAAAAGGCTCCACGAGTCTCGAGTTCGGAAAAACCTTGAAGAATAGTCGTATATATCGATCCTCAAATTTGATACAATCAAAAACAAAACGTTGACCACTGTAAGTTGAAGTAAGTAAGCCGATCAAAAAAGACGTGAAGTAGACCATCTTCTCACTTGTAGAATAAATTCCAGTGAATAGGAGAGGGATCATAGGGATAAGGTGATAGGGTGCCTCCATATCACCGCCACACAAACAAGGTCCCAACTAGAAAAAGGCAAAAAGGAAATCACAATTTTGGTCACTAATCCAGAATACAACTCCCTCCACCTGATGTAGTTACTTACTTAGTTACAGTAGAATAATTAAAAATATACATAGGTCCTTTTATTTGACAAAGGAGCAAAAAATAGACAAGTACATGCCGCAGCTTCCTCGTCCGTACGGGGTGTTTTCCCTTCTTCGTCCTCAAAAGCCATAGCATGCGCGAACCAGAGATGAGCCAAACTAACAACATGGCTTTTCTCGAAGCCCTGCTTTGTTAGAGAAAACCAGATGGCCTCCCGTGGAGCCTCCCTCCATGGTGAATAAGTAGCAAATCCCTGGTGCTGAGTAAAAACCCCAGCTGCATGAAGTTCTTTCAGTTATTCTTGATATGAGCAAAACAAAAAGTTTCTTCTAGGATGCAAGTTGAAACAAAGCTACTCATAGCTTAGCTCGAAGAATAACGGGTAAATATAATAAATAATTACTAGACTCTGAGCAAGATCAACCTAGTCCTGGCCTTCTACACCAGGAGCACCTCCAGTATATTCATTCATTCATTTACCTAGCAAGAGGTCGTATAGTACGAAAGCATAAGTATGTAAATTTCTTCTTAAAGTAATAGTATTCGCGTTTTCCGGATCTTGATGCCGAAGTATTGTTCTCCACAGAAACGCCACCCGTTGCTTTTCTGTTGTGCACTGCCTCAATCTTTCCTGCACCTCCTCGTGCATCCATTGCTTGCGACTTGTCTTCAGCGCCAGCACGTGATAAATAGAGCTCTCATTTGCGTCTGCGTCATTCCCTACCTTAGAGGCCCGTTGCACTATTTTTGCACTCTTCAGAAGATGCCACCTGCTCTGTTTTCCACTTGAAAAACGGCCGAGGATGGTTCTTGTGAAGGATGCAATTATGAGGGAGGGGCCCTTAACTACAGCCTTTCCCAGGAGCTCCGTTTTCAAGTCTTCAGGTTGAGCAAAAAGACGGGTGGAAGGAGTGATCGACCCTCCCCTCGTCGTGCTCGTGGCGTTCTCTTGGTTTTTCTTCTTCTTCCACCATGGAGGTGGAGCCCTTCTGCTCGCCCTCTGCCTTTTTTTTTTGCCCATTTTTGTGTCGTCTTGGTCGTCTCCTGCTTCTTCTTGGTCTTCTCCCTCTTCTACTTCTTCCTCTTCAAGAACAACCCGGTTGTCACTTTGTACGGCATTTGCGAGAGGTCCAACTTCCTCTTGTTCTTGCTCTGTTTGTCTTGCTCTATTTTGTCGCCACTCGTCCCACTCCTGTGCTTGGTTGTAATTGAAACTCTGTGGCAGCGGCTGGGAGTCGTGCGGATAAGGGTCATGCGGTTGTAAGTGCGGATGAGGGTCATGCGTTTGTAAATGCGGATGAGAGTCATCCGGTTGTAAATGCGGATTATAAGGCTGCGGCTGTTGCGCATAAGGATGTGCTAATTGCTGACAAGGCGGCGGCGAGTGTGGATAAAGCTGCGGACGATAACAAGGCTGCTGCTGTTGTTGTTGAGTCATTATCTGCGGCTGCCATGATTCTGCCTGCTGACTCATCTGAAGATACGCCTGTGAGCTTTGCCATTGCTGACTCATCTGCGACGGGTGCTGTTGACTCACCTGCTGGGGCTGGTGCCATGGTTGTGGCTGTGGTTGATGTTGTCCAGGCTGCCATGCGTCTGGCGCCCGCTGACTCATCTGCGGCTGGTTGTGCCATGCTTGTGGCTGATGTGTTGTAGGCGGCGGTGGACTTACTCCTACTGTATGCTGCTGTGCCGGCTGATGTGTTGTAGGTAGCGGTGGACTTACTCCTACTGTATGCTGCTGTGCCGGCTGATGTGTTGTAGGCGGCGCTGGACTTGCTCCTGCATCACTTCCTGGCTGTACTAGCCAATGCATGGGCCTTAGATGCTGCCAGCAGAAAACTTGGTTGCTACATGGACCCGGAATCGGCTGCAACTGCACAGGATACCACGATGTCGGTAGTACATTTCCACAGGCTTGAGGTGGGAGAGAGCAGTATTGAGGTGGAGCAGACTGCTGTAGTTGTCCCTGTTCTTGCTGAGGCAAAAAAGCAGACTGCTGTAGTTGTCCCTGTTCTTGCTGAGGCAAAAAAGCAGGCTGCTGCAGTTGTCCCTGTTCTTGCTGAGGCAAAAAAGCAGACTGCTGTACTTGTCCCTGTTCTTGCTGAGGCAAAAAAGCAGGCTGCTGCAGTTGTCCCTGTTCTTGCTGAGGCAAAAAAGCAGACTGCTGCAGTTGTGGTTGTGCACCGCGGCCACCCTGTTCGCCCTGTATATAAGTAGGCGTAGGAGGTAAAAACGGAGGGTAAAAATCTACTTGTTGCTGTTGCACTGCAGAGACACCCAGAACAACTTGTGGGGCCCCACCGGGAACGGTTTGCTGTGCAGCTTCTGCGTACTGTATCAACCCTTTCGTCTTTTGCTGCTGGACGATTGCTTCAGAGTGTGCTGCTGGAGCGTCCTCGTTGTCAACCTTTAATACTTGATGACCATCTTGTTGTTCTCGCTGTTGTTGGCCTGCTAGCTGGGGAAGATGAGCCCACGCATCTTCTAATTGGCAACACCTAGCTCGCTCTAGCTCAGGGATGGAAGATCCTGGGTCCTTACCATTAGAGCGAAAAACAATTCATTTCTGCAAGTCGTTTCTTTTGATTCCCAAGACGGAACCAGAAGAAATTGCCCTTCTCTCAAGTGAGACAGAGGTACCATCATTTTCAAAGGTACCTTCAGTGAATTCTATTGAGCCTTAATAACAGAGTCTGATGCTGACGCTGCTGTCCCTGATACGCCTTCTAGCGCATCTGCTAGTTGAACTCGGAAAACGGAGTCTCGATGGAGCTGCGCTAGCCTTCTTAAAAGTACTACAAGTGCTTCACTATCCACCTTATCCCTGACTAAGTAAGCACCCTCATCCCTGGTTTAGTGAGTTCGTGAGCATGATCCTTGGATAAGTGAGTCCCTGGTTTAGTGAAAGTGACTCCCCGCTTCGTAGTTTTCCAGCACCTTGAAAAATGCTTGAGATTGAAGATAGCTTCCTTCCCCTTTAAATAGCTTCAAGGAAACTACAGTGGCACTTGTCTACACACACTCAGCATGCTAATGGGATAGTGAAAAAATGTAGAAGCCGTAAATCTAGGTGACTCGAGGACCAAGACGCTGACTCTTCGTCTACTTCCTCTGTCCAGCTGTGGTCCTTTTTCTCTCCATGTAGTTCTTCGTCTTGGGCATCCTTCCTTGTTGCGGAGGATGTATATTCTCCACAAGACCCAGAATCAACCTTGCAACCGGCGTTTAGTTGTGCTCTCCTCAAAGCCGTGGAAAGAAGTGATGAGGGCCCCCTACAAGCTTCCGCTTCTCTAACTCCTGGATTTACCTGTTCCTCCTCACCCAACGCGCACTTTCGCAACGTGCAGCTGTCCACCTGCTCACTTCTACGGCGACGCTCATCGTCATAGCCGGAATGTGCTGCCCCTTGCTCACTTCTACGGCGACGCCCATCCAGTAGTGCTGCCCCTTGCTCACTTCGACGGCGGTCCAGTACTGCTGCACCTGTTTTCTTGCCTGTAAACATACTACTCGACAAACTTGACGAGCCGCATGCTGAAGGAAAAGCCCTTCCCAGAGGAGATAGCCCCTTTCGCCCACGCTTGTTGCAGCAGCTTCCCTTCGACGGTCCTGATGTAGGAGTTGAACTACATCGAACTGCGGCAATTAGAAGATGAACTAGTTCTTGTAGGTGGAGTTGTAGTGGTTGTGGATGGTTGTTTTCGCTGTGCTGGATCAACATCAACATTCATCATGAGGCCGAGTTACGTACCGATGAGAGATTTGATCTGTACTAGAGATTTGATCTGTTCATGGCATCGTCTACTTCATATGTACTTATTACTTTAATTCACGTGAGTAGGAGTACCTAGATCAGAAAAGCAAAGCAGAACTACCGGTAGAGAGGACATACTTTACTTAATATAGTTGGAAAATAAAGTCAAAATGACGGCCATAAAATGACGGCTGGAACGTGGACTCGGAGTTTTCCGTCCAGTAAGCAAAGACCCATCTTCATTTTCCGGGTAATCGTACTGCAACTAGCCGTCGTCATCGCAGAAGTCGACGTCCCACTATCAGTAGTACCAGCACTGGAAGAGCAAGTCTTCTGAATAGCAGGAGGACCACCTCTGACAGCATTGTCGGAGGACGATTCGTTTTGTGGTTTTCATTAGCGCTCACCCTAACCCATTTCGAGAAGCATCCTGCTTCCCTTTTTCCCTTGGAAAGCGGAACGCTTCAGAAGATGAATTAGGGTCTAAGCCGTAATTTAATTCAGGTGTCTTCCACGCTCTCTCTTTGGCTGTCCCTGCCTGTGCGCGCACTGACGACCTAGATCTCCTACAAGCCTGCCGCGAAAGAACCGAATCGGACGAACCGAAAAAAGAAGCTGGTGCTGTAGTAGTAGATGTGGCCTCCTTGGACAACTTGGAGATCCGCGAAATCTCAACTCCTAGATGTGTTGGACCTGACAAAGCTGCACAACAACCTTTTCCTACACGGGGACCAGTCTGAGTGTCACTACTAACAGGGTCGTGGGTTTCATAATTAGAGTCTGCTAGATTGCGTCCTGGTCCCCTCATCTCGGCCCCCTTCCCCTTGTATTTCATGAGAATACAAAGCAAAACAGGACCAAGATGCCGAGAAAGATGGACACGACACTAAATGTTGGCCATAACCGGAGTTTGATCAACAACAACATGAGGATCATCCTGGACAAGTTGAAACTCTCGCGTGATGTTTTCTAAAATTTCCGCAGTCGCTTGAGGTGATGAAGTGACGACTCTCATAGCACATCTGAAACTCAAGTCCATCGACATAGAAGTCGGCTCAAGAGCCGCACTTCTATTCTTAGACCTTCCAGAAATCCATCTTGCGGATCATCTACAGTACAACTGTGAGTTGTATGATAAGATATTAAAGCTGGAGGTCGTGTTCTTTTCTCCTTTTTTTTACTTAATATGACCACTGTAGAATGCGCTTATTCCCAGATGTCCTTGATCTCCTCTAAATCCACACGGCCCTTTAGAAGTAATTTTAGGTACTTAAAGAATACCGTCAGGGATATTTCTTCAGAGTCACTATTTCTATGGAGTAAAGTTGTCTCGCGAAGATGGATTTATGGAAGCAAGCCTTAGGAGTTCTTTGAGACTGAGAACCACCAGAAGATGCGATGGTAGGACC